GAAAAAGACAAACGGATAAGTGAGGATAACAATGGTTCATCGTAGGAGCGACTGGCTTATTTCACTTTATTCTGTTAAACGTGCATAAATCTACCGTTAAGACTGGACAGTCTCTACTTTGCATAATTTGGATTACATAGCTACTTAGAATGGAACGGTTTTCTCTCACATTAAACACAAAATTAAGTACGTACAGTCTTTTTTCCGATTGGAAAACAACCGGCCTCTTCGAATTATTCAGACGCAATGGTGTGGGCAATTTATTCTGAGCTAGCAGGACACGTCACAACGGCAGTAAGTATACCTAAACAAAATCTACTTAGGCTTTGAGACTCGAAATAATTTCTTATTTCAATAGATAAGAGGTAACTAGTTAAATCTACCAAAAGTAAAATGAAGTTTACTTGGTCAGGAGAAACAAAGTGTTTTAATTCGGAACTTAATCTAGACTGGGAGCCGTGCAGCACAGGCGAGTTTAATCCTACATTCATTTTCTACTAAGACATAGTTAGAGGCCTAAGAGGAATAACATAATCACTTACCTTTTCGCATAACGAAGTTTGCGACAAGAAAAATAACTTTCAGCCAAAGAACAGAGCTAAAACATCTCGCCATGATGCCAGTTTGCTGGATTATCTTTCCAAATGTTTGAAAATACTGAAAAACAATTTGTAAACTGACAGGTCAAGTATTCAGGCAATATTTCTTGCGCAGCCAGCTTGCTAAATCACCGCTCTTAATGCCAGCCACAAGGCACAATCTTACTTCTTAGTTGAGATTCCAAATAGTTAATGGTTATATATAACATACAACCTACGTAGATTGATATTTGACGTAGTTGTGGAAATATAATAACTTAGGGCTGCCAAAGTCTTTGCCATCGAGTCTGATCAGCATAAACAACATCTATGAAAATTGACTGCTCATTCTTTGCTTATTCTTTGAGGGATTTCACGGATCAGAAGTAGGATAAAAAACCGTTCCTTGAATTACTACTCAGTAGATGGATTCCATTCAATGGAAACACCCTGATATTTCTTCCACAGACTCAAGAGTGTTACATCATATGACTCAATAATATTTCATTCTACTGGGGAATCAAAAAATTCAAAAAGGCATGGTAACACTGTTATATTTTAGCTTTTGGGAACGTTTTGTAAACTGTGAAAAAAAAAATTTAAATCAGTTTTCGACAGCCGAAAATTATGTCCCTTACGAAGGTTTTTTTCACAATAATTAGGGGTCTTGGTATTAAAGCCAATAAAAACCCTTCTCTTCAAAACCGAGGTAAGAAAATTTCAAAAAATGTCAGTTTTATGTTGCTGGAATATAAGACTAGAGCAAGCTAACTTTTTAAAAAAATTGTTTCATCCCCTCAAGAAACGGCACGTAAGAAAAGCGTGCAGCATAGTACATGTGAAATTCCTTGCAATATTAGAGAAAACATTAGCTCAATACTACCTCTTATTTTGGGCATTTGATTACTTTCTGTTCTAAAGTGATTTTCAATTTACTGTCAAGAGTGATTTCGCAGCCGCTTTAGCTCGCATAACTCCACAATTCTGGCGCCACTGTCTCAACCAATCAAGATCCATCATAGTTTTCGTGCACCGGATTTCCCGCGCTTGGTGACCGACTGTATGCATTTCCTCTGAATTCTCATTGGCTCAAGGAGTAGTCTTTTCCTGTTATGATTGGCTGGATGTATTGTAAGCTATAACGCCGAAAACCGCTTAATTAATGATGAGTGTCAACTTTAATCACTTTGTTATTCAACGAATTCACAGAATATACTGATATGATGACATTTCATTTAGTTACATGGAGTTTTCAAAATGTGGTGCAAAGTAGTCTTGGTTTCCCAAATCGCATGAAATGACGGTTATCTGCTGGATAAAGGACCGTCATGTCTGGTAAGTGATTTGATTCTATTTACTTTTCTAAGTAATTATTTATCACTTTTTAGTTTTTGATTGAGAAAAGCAGAAAAGGTACAGGGTGAATTATTCAGACAATTTGTGTTTAATTGGCGACAAACTCGCGGTTCATATCTTAAACCTGAATGGTTAACCAACTAGTTGTCAAAAACAAACTCAAAAGTTAGACCCACCTTGAATAGCATAACAAATAGTACCATAAAAAAGTACTGCTCAGTAGCTTTTATTTAAATAGCGGGCTCTTTGGATTTCATTCATAGACTCAAAGGTTAAAACCACCTTGTATGGCATGATAACCTAGCCTGAATTTCATCCGATTACTTCGAGTCGTTATTACTCCCTCAGTAACTAAGAGGAGAGGAGAAAACGACTCGAAACAATCGGATGAATTTCAGGCTAATGATAACCAGTACCACAGGAAAGTGTTCGGTATCTTTTATTTGAATGGTGACACTAAAGGATTTCATGGAAACTCGTAAAGATTCAAACAATCCTGGCAATTTACAACCTAAAACAATATTATAAACAAGATAGTTAGATGATCATACACTTGAGGATTTAATCAACAAACTCAGAAGTTACAACCAATTTGTAACTTAGTTACAATGTTTATAGGGTAGGAAAGCGAATTTTTTATGGAGGGTGACACAGTGTTACTGTCAAACTTGTGACCTTCGCATTAATCAGCTATTTACAATTAGAGTAACATGTAAAAATAAATAATTAGAGATAGATAACATTCTATTATTACATATTACTGACAGTCTACATCTATACTAGAAAACCTTATATCTATAATGACAATGTACTTTGTTCCCGAACTGCCGGTGCTTTGTTTACAATTTTAACCATTCTACCAGCTCATGATTCCACTCCTTCACAGTTCTGACACTAAGGGTCGATTTTTCAAAGACTTTGAACGAAACCTAATTTAGAAAAGTAGGTTTAAGAGGCTCAGTGGTATTAGATCTTTTCGCCCGAAGATCGGTTTGCCCGATAGCAGTTCGCCCAGACTAATTTTTATCGTCCGAAGCGTATTTGTCGTTCTTTAAGTCTGAAAAAAGGAATTGAGCATGGAAAGACAGTGACTGCACATGTGGAATCCAAGAGTAACTATATCTCGAAAGATATGTTCACCATGTTGTAGAGTGTTGTACCTCATCGGGCGAATCGACTAATCGGTCCCGGCGAACGCTCTCGGGCGAAGCGACCGCAATTCGGCTCAGTAGGCAATAAGATCTGTAGATAAGGAAGGTGTTTTATTTGAAGTCAATCAATGGCTCTCTAGTCTGGTTTGCAAACCTTCTTGACGTCTTTAACAGCAAACATTGTTTGGATGGGTAGGTTAGACAAATTAAAAAAGAGATTAGAACGAAGGTTTTGTTAAACAGCGACTAAACTCTGTTCTAATAATGGTGTATAAATGTTTCGTCAATCACGGAACGATGGTTAAAATATCAGAAGTGTTAAGATGACGTCACATGTCAACCTGTTTACGTCACTTGACACCTTTCTAACCATTGTTTGATTTAAAAACAAGAGGTTATTGTTGAGGAACAATACTTGATTTATTCTAACTTATGAGAGCTTTGTGAGTCCAGGAAGTAGTGCGAATCTCGTTTTAAAAGATGAACCAGCAAAGTTTATCAGTATAGGCGTAATACAACACTACTAAATAGTCTGCCAACACTACTAAATAGTCGCTTACAGGATCTGTGCATCCTTATGTATAAAGTAAAGCATAAACTGTGCCCTGCATATATAAGTAACATCTTTAAAGAACCAAATAGTAATTACAATCTGCGGCAAGCAGATTTCTCTATACCTAGGTATGAGACAGTCACCTATGGCAAGCACTCTATTAGATATTTAGGGCCTAGGCTATGGACAAAACTACCCAGGAGTATCAGGGACGTCACAACCCTAACGTCGTTTAAAAGCAAGATACGCCAACTCAATATAAGTGAACTTTTAGATGATGGCTGCACAGGCTGTAGCCTTTGTTCATTTTGACTTCTGTGTATTTTTACTATAAATCTCTTAATTAGTTAACTATAGATATTTTACCTACTACTGTATATAGTTTTTAGTTTGTATATTCTCCCCTAATTGGTGTCCCCAAATTAGTAAGGGATTTGTTCCCTGGCTAGACGGTTTTTGACACTTTAATAAAGTTTCTATTCTATTCTATTCTATTCTATTCTATACAAAAACAGTAAGTGTTCACGCGGGCACTTAATAATGCGCTAGCCTATTTGCATACGTGTCAATTCTCTAAAGAACCGAAACGCGTTGATACTAGAGAAACGAGGATTAAACTTAAAGCAAAAAAGTAATAAAACAAGCTTGAGTTTTCAAGATTGACAGGAGCAGAGTAGTAATTCCTATTGTCTATCCTGTAAGCTGAAAGAAGCGAGGACAGGCTAAGAAAACGAGATCAATGCCGCCCATCCTCGTCCCATCCCGTCCCGCCCATCCTCGTCCCACGGGCTTTCTTGTCTTTCAAGATGAGGGCGTTAAATGACAGACTGCAGAAAAACGCTGACGCAATACTCTATGAATAAAAAAATATACTTTCACAAAGCCTGCGAAAACGGACGTTTCACGCCCCCCAGCGGCGGTGAACGAGGAGAAATGTTTGTGTTCCGACATGCTAACTTTCACGTTACACGTAGAGGAATGTAAAACGATTGGCACTTTGAAATGGTTCACCCATTAAAAATGAGATACCAGCAAACATTTCATCTTAAGACTTGTTAAGGTAATGACAACTACATTTATCGTACGTGTAAATAGTAGACTATTATGGCTATAAAATTCATATATAATTATCATAAATTCAGTCAATTTTTAGGATCCCAATTTCATTATAGGTTTACCTTAAATTAAAAAATCAGTGTTACATATTTTATCCATCAATGTACACAAAAATTGTGCTGAACTAAATATTTCGTTACTCTACATTATAAAATACAGCCATTATTTTCAATACAACGAAGGCATCAGGGATGAAAATTGTCCATGTCCCTAGTTTTTTTGAGGTTGTCGAGTAACCGAACACAAGGGAAGATTTGACACTGAGAACTTGAATTGATACCTGTAGTGACTGATTGATCAGAAGTATGTATCAGCAATAGGTATATCATCATAAATCGGCTCCTTTGCACTTGGAACTTTCTCTTTCTCTTTTGCAATGTGAACATCGACAGACTCCGTTTTAATTCCTTGGTTGGAAAATGCATCCATGACAGAACTAACAGTGGCAGCTTGTGCGTCACCATCATTAAGATCCATAGATTCCGAATGATAGGCTTTATTCAAAAAACCTTTGCCTTTACCCTTGTTAGGTTTGTCCACTGAGACTGCTTCCTCCGTTGTTTGGGAAAAGACTTCGCCATCGCTCTCGTCAATGGAATCGCTTTTGAAGATCTTGTTGTAAAAACCGCTTTTGTCGTTGGAAGTTTTTGATTCGTCTGATACCTGAGATCCAATTTCCGCGTCATCGAGTTCTATGGAGAGATCTCGAAAAGATTTATTGGAAAAACCAGATCTTCGTTCGCGCCTGCGTTCTTCACTAGGTTTCGGCTCTGGCTCCGGCTCCTGCGGTTTTGGTGCGCTGGTGTAATCATTTGTCACCTGCATCTCTGTGGAGACAATGTCTTGCTTCTTTTCATTATTGTTTGCTGTTTCATCATTATAACTGTTGTACAGTAAATTCCTGGACTTTCTGCGTTGTTCGGCATGAGGATGGTCCAGACCTATGGTAGATTTTCGTCGTTTTTGGCTGAGTATTTTAGGCTCCTTTCGTCTGATAACGAGATGAACGAATAACAGGGCAGACAGCACTGCTACAGCCAAAACAGGCATCAAAACAGAAATATTGACACACCCTTTTCTTCCTGAAATGCATAACAAAAAGCCATTAATCAACAGTATGAAATCAAACATTCACATTCAAGTTTATCCCAAATTTCATTTAAAACTGAAATATTGACAAGCAAATAGTATCGTGAAAAAACTGTTGAAGAAGTTCTCAAAGGGTACAATAGAACCTGGGATTCGTAATAGTTTAAATTGTGAATAAAAAAAATTAGATTTGTGTCACTGAGAATTGGGTTGTCCAAGAAGGCAGTGTTTATTCAGTATCCAAGACGCTTGTTTTGTATACTCACCAGTATACTTCATTCCTCTTATCAATAAGATTCTACATCGAGTACTTGACGCTCCCTTCGTGACGTTACATTCGTACATTCCAAAGTCCTCTGGGGACTTTGGTGTCACCACCAGAACGTTCGCACGAATTTCTGCCCGTGAAGACTTCCTGACAGTATCATTGTTCGGCTTTTTCCAGGTGTACACAACCAGTTCCAGTTCAGACTTTGTAGGTCCAGTTAGATTTGTTACATAGCAACCCAGATTGACGGCATGGTTAAGAAATGTAGTAATTTCTCGTCGCGTTAGACCTTTGTCGATTGTAAGATTTTCTGCAAAAAAGAAAAACACAGAGTGAGAATTGAGATATAGTTTTGCCAGAATATTCAATAATTGACAGTGTTTACAAAAAGTCAACATTCAACGATTTTTACTACGTTAAGATTTCATAGATGCATTTTACTAAGTGTGACGGCTCATCCAAATAAAGGACTCTCAGTTCCTGTATCTGAGCCATATAAAGTGGGTCTAACTGCAGCATTCTTACATCAATTTCGTGTTGTTGAAGCACTTTTCAAAACACGGTATCCCAATAAAATTTACGTCCACTTCCAAAACTTTGGTTGTAAAGAAATATAACCAGATAAAATATAATAATACACGAATAAATGTAGTAATAATATCCCACAGAAAAAAAAGGCGTTCAGGAACTCTATATTGCAAACAATCTGGCAACCTCAGTTAACCGAATGACATAAACCGTTCGTAAAAGATGTTTTGATAAAGCGGTTAATAAGTCTTAAAAAATAAAAAAACTTAAGGGACTTTGATACAATTTGACCGAAATTACTATATTACCCAGTTTATCAGTAAAAGATTGGGAATTTCTCGCACACCTTCATCCCATACAAGTGACAGAAACATAGATGGTATAAGATAATAGCACAGTAATAACGATCGCACAGTCATAAAGGAATACCGTAAAATTCCGAAAACAAGCCACTCCATGTATAAGGCCCCCAATCCGGTAACGCAAAAAACCTTCCGTTATTATAAAATCGCCCCTCCAAATATAAGCCCCCCAGGGGTTTGTACTTGGAAAATTGCCCTCAAATACAAAGTAAAACATAGCAAAAACGGTAAATTTCCTACCAACTATAAGGCTAGACCAATCGATTTTGAAACGCAGATTTCCCTCCGTAGATAAGCCCCTCCGAAAGTAAGCCCCTCCAAAAATAAGCCCCTCAAAGAGGGCCTTTGAAAAATATAAGCCCCGGGGCTGATTTTCGGAATTTTACGGTATGTTCATTTAAGTCGGCGTTTCGACACTGGAGTTTAGATTTGAAATTCCTTTGCGAGAAGTTTCTTATTTTATTCGACCTTGTCCTTAGAACATCAAAAATGGCCAAGTGCAAATAAACACAAATAACAGTCTCTTCAAATATATAATATGCCCACATATCGTATACATAAATCTTATAATATACAAAAATATTAGTCAACCCTCGCTCATGATACGATAATATATAGACTACATGTAGCTTTACCTAGCTGATTTGGTTTTCCAAATGGCCATAATATTTTAAGTTGAAACGTTGATTTGTATGGGTTTTTCTGTAACGCCAGCGTGCAATCTGAAAATCTTTCTATCGAGGAAGAGTCTTTCCGTGATGTCCAAATCTCACACGATACTAAAGACTAACTAGTGCAAAAATGAGTACAATATGGCAGACGATTTCTTGAAGCACCTCTTTATAACTGTAGGGAATGCGCAGCGTTGATCACGAAAAGACGAACATGGGAACTGTTTGCCCAGCGAAGCTTGTCGCTAAGACGTGCAGGGTCAATTTGTCCAAAGCTGAGGGTTATTGTAATTTAGGAAAACTGGCCTCACTTCGAATTTTAAACCTGCACCATAAACAGAGATTCTTGTAAAGTCTTATTAGTCTCCAGTTTGCCTTAGGTTTAGACAAAGACGAAGAAAAACAAACAAAAAAATAAGAAACTAAAGTTGTGCACGATGAACATCGAGGCCTCATCTTAATTTTACAGCTCTATCAGGTAGGAAATTCAAGGGAATCAAGACTTCGATCAACAAGATCGTAATTGGTTTGACATGAAAAGAAATTCTCCTCTCTATAATTCAATAAATGCATGTACATTAGGATAGGAGAATTTGTTTTTATAACGGTAAGGAAGTCTTCTGCTGTAAGAATCAATTCTGAAAGCGTGTAATGAAGATTAAGCTGGTATATGAAATCCTGTGATGTGAACATATTTGGCATGTTACTATTTGTTTCATTAGGAATTTACAAATCAAAATTTGGAGTTCTTGAGAAATGAAGTCTTTGTTTTGTTTGGGACCAGTCAAAGAAATGACAGTGTAAAAAGAATTGTCGGCCTGCTTTAAACAAATAGAATTAAGAGTGACCTTCAACTTGGGCACGAAAATAATCTGCACAAATACAGCTACTCATTAAATGATATTTTATAATGGTCGTCTTCAACCAAAGTTTAGCTTGAAACGTTTGCGCGATTCAAGATATATCAAACAATGAAAGAGTTTTTTCATTTTATTCGTTTTAGCTCTTCACTTGCGAACAGAGGACGCCTCGGGGTTAAAAAAGAGTACTTTATAAACTGTATCTTTTGTGAATTAAAGAAATGACACCCATAGTCGATAATAATGCAACCACCATTAGGACCAAACAAGAACTTTAACCCCTTTACTCAGCAAGCACTTTCCACGTATAACTGAAGTTCATTAGTTGTGGAGGTAAGGCATTAGTGAAGATAAAATGAGGGTTGTAACTTCATGTGAAATAGCCAATTTTGACAGGTCTAGTATTGAAGGAATGCTCACGTGCGAGGTCGGTTGCCATTTTTGTTAACGGTGCTGCGAAATCCTCTCGATTTCCAGGAAGATTTCTTTTTCGTAATAGGAAACTAATTGAAGCTCAAAATTGATTCTCCATACTACCTTTAACCATAAACAAAGTATTCTCATCAGTGAAAAATGTTTGGCAAGACAACACACTTTGTGCACGTGTGCTTTCGTAATGCAGAGTTACAATATTTAAACTAATTTGAGATCAAGCCATCTGTTTCAGGTCGTTTCACATATTCATCAAGATAACAGATGAACAGCGTTGCGTAATGACTGAAAACGAGATTTCCCCTTGTCTCCTTGTGTTGGTAATTGCTTCATAAGGTCTGGATTCCAGATAATTGTCCGGATTTTGTGAAAATCATGTGAAGATTGAAAAATCCCTTATAATGAAATAAAACTTGACCTATTGTTTGAATGAAATTAATACCCACCGATCGTGTCTCCTGCGCTAAATACACTGCGGTTGTTTCGTTGGTCTGATATTTTGGTTGTCACGTAGGAGACATGCCGATTCACTAGCTGAAAAGCTCGACTAAATCATCTCTACAACTGTCATGAATAAAACGGGTAAAAATTTGGGATTGCCTCCAACAAATTTGACTAATTAGTTCATTACACCCTCTCGTCTAAAATGGAGTTTTCGAACACGTGACTAAGCTGCTATGCATGAAACATGAGGTAATTTTCAGAATGTCAACCTGAAGCTTATCCCTTATGGACACAACTTCACTTTAAGCTACTCTTTAATACAATTTTACATCCTTATGAAGAATGAACAAGCCTATAAGTGCAATTTTTGTCAAAGTTAAAGTTGATATGCTAGGTTTAATTGTTCACTACTCGCTCAATATAGCGAAGAATAAACAGTGTTAACTTTAAACATAAAAAATGCACCCTATTACAGCCCCAAAAGTGAATTCTAAGGTATTAGCTTACCACGGGCGACTGCCATGTTGAAAATCATACAAAATACTTGAAAAACACATGAATAAAGAAGTGTTGTCCTGATGTCCGTCATTTTGTTGTTTCGCTCTCTCGTTATACCTCGCGCAATGAGGAACATTCAGCCACCAACATACTCATAAGTGTATATTGCTAACTGTTGTACTCGAAAAAAACAACAACAAAAAATTAATATTTACAGACTAGACTGTCTGGCAATTCAAATTTCCCCATCGAATTTTGCGGTAGTCAGTGGAATGTCGTTCCTCTCTACAATATTAAGCCACTCGTATACTATGATGTATTAAAAAGGTAAAAAGAAGGAAAAAAAAGCCCTTGTACTAAGACTGATGCTTTTCGTCTTTTAGTCCAAATCGAGTTTGTAATCAGCAATATCGGTGCCGGGATCAGTGTGAGAATTTAAGAACAATGAAAGAAGTTTCAAAGTCCATATTCGAGTAAAAATAGCGATAAGAGCACTGAGTATTTTGTCAGCGAAATCTGCGATACAATATTTATAGAACACTTGAAGCCATATCATTAACTACAAAATAACGTCACAAGCCTTTTTTATCTTATCGCTGAATCAGGCAACAATTTCATGGCATTTCATACTAGGATGGCTGTGGTTCTTTCACTGACACAGGCAATTGTATACGGACATCAAATGTAGTTCTAACTACTGGGTCGGCGGTAGCGGACAAAATGCTCGAGTGCACCAAATAATAGGCGGCTGGACAGCACTTTTCTGTGGTACTGTTTGTTATGATGTACAAGGTGTTTCTGCAGGATGAAGCCCTTAGGTGTTATCTTCTCAGTGAGCAGTACTGTCTTGTGGTACTGTTCATTGTGCTGTACAAGGTGGTTCTAGCATTTGAGCTTGCGGATGACATACTGGAGTGTTACTATTCAAATGAAAGCTACTGTGCAGTACTTCCCAATGGTGCTGTTACTATGCCGTTTCTAAGTGGTTCTAACTTTTGAGTTTGGATGAAACCCTAAAATGTGACCATTTCAATGAAAGCCACTGAAGACACTGAACAGTACTGTTTATTACCCTGTATAGGGTGGTTTAAACTTTTTAGTCTTTGAAAAAAAAGTGATATCCACCTTGCATGCCGCAATTCATTGCGGTGTAGTATTTAATAAGACGTAGTTAGCTATTTTTTAAATTCAAGTTGTGAAGCAGTACTTTTCCCTCGGCTTGAAACTGTTCAAAAGGAGGAATCAGCGCACAGTGAACAAACGAAAAAAAGGTAAGGTCAAGGACAGATAAGAGTTATTTTTAGGTGCATGTCAGTACAGCTAATTCAAGCTAGGTTCAGTTTCAAGCATTTTTTGTACGCTTTCCTTTTTATGGTTGGGATGGAGACTTTTTTGAAAAGGTTAAAAAGCGGTGGGAGGGACTCCCTAAAATCCCGAGGCCTAAAATTGAAGATAGCCCTTACTAGTAACAACAAAGTTGCTAATGCTTTCAGTGATTATTCAGAAACACATGATGTGCACGTGATTGTGTTTTTTGTTTTGATATTTATTTCACTTTTAGAACCAATCAAATCAAGCGTCAAAAAATATATTTTGCAATCGACTGAGGGAAACGGAATCAAATGAGAAAACTTGAAGAGCACTTCAAATGAATGATCACGTTGAATGTTCTCAAAAATTCCAAAGATTGGAATGGCCTTGTAAAGCATAATAACAATTCCTGAACACAGGAAAGTACTGTTCAGAAGTTTTCATTATATGGTCACAAATTAGGATTTCATCCGCAGACTTCAAACATTCGAACCACCTTGTACAGCATAATAAACATTATCACAGGAAAGTTCTGCTCAGTAGCTTTCATTTAAATGATCACATTATAGGATTTCATCCACAGACTCAAAGGTTAGAACCACCTTGTACAGCATAATAAACAGTACCACAGATAAGTACGCACTAGTTCTAGAGCTTTTTTAGTTTCAACACCACGCATATCATACGAACGCCAAAGTGCGACTATGAAAACTACTGAGTAGAACTGGAAAGTACGGCTCATTGTATCTATCATATTCATGTCCACAATAATGAATTAGTAGGGGAAGGTACTTTGTAGATTTATAGTTGACGGAATGTCATTGGGCCCCATAACCGTTATTCCTCACCATACTGAACCAGCTGAAATTTGCGACCCTATTCTTAAAGGGGCTCCGCCAGAAATTTATCAAAATTCAGTCAGTGGGAACTGCCACAAACTGAGTGAAACATGTAAATAACTGACCGCTTAGAACATGAAAAGGAAGTGTAAAAGAGGCGCGGATGGACAGACTTGGAGAAGATTAAAAAAGATGGCAATTGTGGTTTTTGAAAACTTGTCAGCCCAACAGTTTTTCAAAGTTCCGTTTTTGTTTTTAATCGTTTAAGATAATGCTTGGGAGAGATATTTGTTTGACATTACATGAAGCTCTGGTTTTGTCATTTACAAGTAATTTTTCAAGCTTCATATCGAAAAAGGACGCATAACATGCATTATTGACAATAAAATGAACTGGACAGACGTGTCACAGCCCTTTTAAACAAAGCTTTACCGATCTGAGTGCGTTCAAAATTTTTGAAAATAACGATACAAATTTTCATATCTCCGCAACATGAAATCAAATTAGAACAACTAAAAAACGCCTTAAAACAGCAATATAGCGTAAAAAGGAACTGAGTAATATTGCCTGAATGAGCTATATTTTGGAACTCAATGACGTCTCAGGAATAAAATATTACACAATAGCTTTGAGATTGTAAAGCTGACTGGTTCAGTTTCCAATGTTAATTATTTTCCTTGATTTATACTATTTATTGGGTGCATGAACACTTGAAGATCGTTCAACTCATGTAACGAATGACTAAATTAATATGTAGCGGCGCGCTGTAATGATAATGAATGCCGCAGTAAGTGATGGTCACCACTATATAAGAAATGAAACGGGCTTACATCATATTGTTCGGTGTATGAAACATCAATTTTATGCTTACACTCATCGTGAATGTAAGGAGTACATAAAAAATTTCCACCTACCGAATGTGGAAACTAACTTAAAGATAAGTAGCCCAGTGAAGCAAAAGGACATTCTACACGTGTCATAAGTGTCATAACAGAAAAGTATCTCCAGGAGGGAATTGTTAATGACGATAGCTAGGTTCAGGCCCCCGTCCCTTATCAACAATCTGGTTATCCACTGAATAGATATCTCAGTATCCTGAGCCCGCACTATACATGCACCTTGTCAACAACTGGGGCCTGTTTCATTTCATGTTTCTTAACTAAAAAGTAAAATTTTCAATAAAGTTTGTTACCTTGTGTTGAGTTCTTTCTTTCTTTCTTTCTTACTCTGTTCTTTGAACTTGATGTTTTTACTAACAGCGAAAAAGATAAGTGGGAAGCACGTATGAGTTATGAACCAATGGAAAATGCATTTTTAAAATGGACCCCTAAAATTAAAAATGAGAGTGAAACCGGTGGACATAACGAAAACACCTTTACAAAGAAGACTTTCGTGAAAGATATTAATTGTTCCAATCATAGTGATACGTATGGGATAAAACCCAGATAACGGGTGCTCCTGTCAGGTTATTACAAACACTCTCTCCCAGTCCTCCGAGGACACTTCGTTATATCGGGGTTTCCAGCTGTGTTATAATGCATTCACCTGTAACTCACCAAAGGTTCGTTTCATCGTGATCACACGCAAGAGGTCCAGACTAATGAAAGATCAGTCAGTGCACGTTTTCCTTCGGCACACTTTGTTCAAAATACCAACAGCAATGTGTACGAAGCCCTGAATGATTCGAATGGCGAAACCACGCTTGTTAGAGTTGTTCCGTGTTTAACCTTTGCAATATTGCGTACATGCACGTTTTTGGAATCAAATCGTTGCTGATCTCTATACCAAGAAGATGCGTTTGGAAGGAGCTCGGAATCAGGAGGCACCCTCTAAGCTGACATGGATCACGCGATACCATTGGTTAACTGCGTGGTTAACTCAAGTATTGGAGGATATCGTTATTTGGGATTGACGATATTCTCATTCCATTTGGGACTGACAGAAGTCCCCCGAAGATAAAGCGGCTAAGGGGACAATGAGAGGCAAAGATTGGTAACCTGGCAGGAGGGTGCGCGCGCACCCTCTGAATTGCAAAATGGGTATGAAATCTCAGGATCTCTGGAGAAAAATTATAGTATAAAAAGAAAACAAAATGACGCAAGGAGTTTGCACACTAGCAACTATTTTAATAACCTTAGTTAAAGAACTGTACATTATCCCTTACACTTAAATGGTATTTTCGCGCAGTTGGTTAGCTTTTGGATATAATTTAATATTTTAGATCTTTCACACAAAAATGTTTATTTCGGGCTATCGTCAGTTCGTCTTAGATACTGCAGAATGTTCCTGTCATTTCGGTATCTGCCATATCTCATTCAACAAGATGAAGAGAAATTTCTCGTGTCATTTTTTTAAATGAGACGTCAAAACGTTTATGTGTTGATCACGTGGACATCACGTGGCAGGTAATGTACCACGCGGTTTAGGGAAATGAGCTGACATAAGTGTCGGCTCGGGCCGAGGCTTCTGAGAGTTGGCTCCACTTCCGGTGGGATGGAAGTATTTAGCGTCAAGTATGGGCTCACCACCTTTGTACGGCATAACAAACAGTACTACAGGAAAGTATTCGTGTTCGTTATCTTTTATTTGAATGATGACACTGAAGGATTTCATGGAAACTCAGAGAATCAAACATACCAATTTATCACCTAATATAATATTATAAACAACACAGTTAGATGGTCATAAACTTAAAGATATAATCAACGAACTCAGAAGTTACAACTAATTTGTAACTTACAAAGTTACAATGTTTATAGGGTTGGAAAACGAATTTTTTATGGAGGGTGACACAGTGTTACTGATAAACTTGTGACCTTCGCATTAATCAGCTATTTAGACTAACATGTAAATTAGACTAACATGTAAAAATAAATAATTGGATAGATAACATTTAATTACTACATATTAATGACAGTCTATACCAGAAATCCTTTTATCTGTAATGACAATGTACTTAAAAAAATTCGATTCTTCTTTCTTTTAGCTAAAAGTTTCGAGTACAGATTTGTTCCCAAACTGCTGGTGCTTTGTTTTAAATTTTAAAAATTCTAGCAGCTCATGATTCCACTCTTACTCGGTTCTGACACTAAGGGTCGATTATTCAAAGACTTTGAACGAAGCCTAATTTAGAAAAGTAGGTTTAAGAGGCTCACTGGTATTAGATCTTTTCGCCCGAAGGTCGGTTTGCCCGATAGCAGTTCGCCCAGACTAATTCGATTCGTCCGAAGCGTATTTGTCATTCTTTAAGCCTGAAAAAAGGGAATGAGCATAGAAAGACAGTGACTGCACATGTGGAATCCAAGGGTAACTATATCTCGAATTCACGAAAGGTATGTTCACCATGTTGTAAGGTGTTCTATGTCATCGGGCGAATCGACCAATCGGTCCTGGCGAACGCCGTCTGGCGAAACGACCGTAATTCGGCTCAGTAGGCAATTCGGCTCTCTAGTCTGGTTTGCAAACCTTCTTGACGTCTTTAACAGCAAACATTGTTTGGATGGGTAGGTTAGACAAATCAAAAAAGAGTTTAGAACGAAGGTTTTGTTAAACAGCGTCTAAACTCTCTTCTAATAATGGTGTATAAATGTTTCGTCTATCACGGAACGATGGTTAAAATATCAGAAGTGTTAAAATGACGTCACACGTCAACCTGTTTACGTCACTTGACACCTTTCTAAGCACTGTTGATTTAAAAACAAGGTTATTGTTGAGGAACAATACTTGATTTATTCTAACTTATGAGAGCTTTGTGAATCCAGGAAGTATTGTTTTAACAGGTGAAAATATCGTTAAATATAGTCGCGCTTGCTTTGCAATCAGTTTGATTTATTCAGACTTTAAGAGATCAAGTGACGTCTAGCGTGAATGAGAAAAAAATGCGAGTCTCGTTTTAAAAGATGAACCAGCAAAGTTTATCAGTATAGGCGTAATAAAAAAACAGTAAGTGTTCACGCGAGCACTTAATAATGCGCTAGCCTATTTACATACGTGTCAATTCTCTAAAGAACCGAAACGCGTTGATACTAAAGAAACGAGGATTAAACTTAAAGCAAAAAAGTAATAAAAATATCTTGAGTTTTCAAGATTGACAGGAGAAGAGTGGTAATTCCTATGGTCTATCCTGTAAGCTGAAAGAAGCGAGGACAGGCTAAGGGAACGAGATCAATGCCGCCCATCCTCGTCCCATCCCGTCCCGCGCATCCTCATCCCACGGGCTTTCTTGTCTTTCAAGATGAGGGCGTTAAATGAGAGACTGCAGAAAAACGCTGAGGCAATACTCTATGAATAAAAAAATATACTTTCACGTAAACTGCGAAAAGAGACGTTTTACGTCCCCCAGCGGCGATGAACGAGGAGAAACGTTTGTTTTCGCAGGTTTGTTTCCGTAGCGGAACCGCCACCCTTTCGTAGGTTTATGGAATGGAAATCTAAACCCATTGGCACTTTGAAATGGTAGACTTGTTAAAGCAATGACGAATACATTTATCGTACTGGCCCTGGTTGTTCAAACGTTGGATAGTGCTATCCAGCGGATAAATCACTGTCCAGCGGATAACGCAATTGTTTCCCGTAATACGTATCCGCTGGATAGTGATTTATTTGGTGGATAGCGCTATCCAGCTTTTGAACAACCGGGGCCTGGTAAATAGCAGACTATTATAGGTATAAAATTCATATATAAATATCATGAATTCAAACAACTTTTAATATCCCAATTTCATTTCAAAAGGGAAGATTTGACACTGAGAACTTGAATTGATACCTGCAGTGAAAGATTGGTCAGAAGTATGTATCAGCAACAGGTGTATCATCGTAAATGGGCTCCTTTGCACTTGGAACTTTATCTTTCTCTTTTGCAATGTGAACATCGACAGACTCCGTTTTAAATCCTTGGTTGGAAAATGCATCCATGACAGAACTAACAGTGGCAGCTTGCCATTTGTGCGTAACCACCATCATTAAGATCCATAGATTCTGAATGATAGGGTTTATCGAAAAAACTTTACTTTGCCTTTACCCCCGTTAGGTAACAAAACTGCGGCTGCTTCCTCCGTTGTTTGGGAAAGGTCTTCGTCATCGCTCTCGTCAATGGAATCGGTTTTGAAGATCTTGTCGTAAAAACCGCTTTTGTCGTTGGAAGTTTTTGATTCATCTGACACCAGAGATGCAGTTTCCGCGTCATCGAGTTCTATGGAGAGCTCTCGAAAAGATTTGTAGGAAAAAACAGATCTTTGTTCGCGCCTGCGCTCTTCACTAGGTTTCGGTTCCGGCTCTGGCTCCGGCTCCTGTGGTTTTGGTGCGCTGGTGTAATCATTTATCACCTGCATCTCTGTGGAGACAATGTCTTGCTTCTTTTCATTATTGTTTGCTTTTTCATCATTAAACTTATTGTACAGTAATTTCCTGGACTTTCTGCGTTGTTCAGATTTTCGTCGTTTTTGGCTGAGTATTTTAGGCTCCTTTCGTTTGATAACAAGATGGACAAAGAACAGAGCAAACAGCACTGCTACAGCCAAAACAGGCATCAAAACAGAAATATTGACACACCCTTTTCCTCCTGAAATGCATAACAAAAAGCCATTAATCAACAGTATGAAATTAAACATTCACATCCAGAAGTAGCCAAAGTTTATCCCAAATTTCATTTCATTTCAGCAAATGATACCGTGAAAATACTGTTGAAGGAGTTCTCAAAGGGTACAATAGAAACTGGGATTCGCAATAGTTTAAATTGTGAATAAAAAAATGAGATTTGTGTCACTGGGAATTGGGTTGTCCAAGCAGGCAGTGTTCATTCAGTATCCAAGACGCTTGTTTTGTACTCACCAGCTAACTCATACTTCAATCCTTTTATCAATAAGATTCTACATTGGGTACTTGACACTCCATTCGTGACGTTACATTCGTACATCCCAAAGTCCTTTGGGGACTCTGGTGTCACCACCAGAACGTTCCCATGAATTTTTGCACGTGAAGACCGCGTGACAGTAACATTGTCCTTTTTCCAGGTGTACACAACCGGTTCCGACGTTACAGGCGAGGAGAGAGACTGAAACGAGTTTGTAGGTTCAGTTACATTGGTGACATAGCAACCCAGATTGACGGTATGGTTAAGAAATGTAGTAATTTCTTGTCGCGTTAGATTTCTGTCGATTGAAAGATTTTCTGCAAGAAAGGAGGACACGAAATTGAGATATAGTTTGCCAGAATATTCACTGATTGACATTGTTTACAAAAAGCCGATATTCAAAGATTTTTTACTACGTTAAGATTTCATAGATGCATTTTACTGAGTGTGACGGCTCATCCAAATAAAGGACTCTCAGTTCCTGTATCTGAGCCATATAAAGTGGGTCTAACCACAGCATTCTTACATCAATTTCGTGTTGTTGAAGCACTTTTCAAACCACGGTATCCCAATAAAATTTACATTCACGTCCAAAACTTTGGTTGTAAAGAAATATAACCAGATAAAATATAATAATACATGAATAAATATAATAATATCTCACAGAAAAAATGGGCTTTCTGGGACTCTATATTGCAAACAATCTGGCAACCTTAACCGAATGACATAAACCGTTTGTAAAAGATCTTTTAATAAAGTGGTTAATAATTCTCAAAAAATATCTTACTTGGGACTTTGATACAATTTTAACTGAAATTAACATATTACCCAGTTTAGCAGTAAAAAATTGGGAATTTCTCGCACACTTTTATTCACTACAAGTAACAGAAACATAGATGGTAAAGGTAATGAAAAATAGAATGCAGTACATTATAGCACAGTCAGAAAGGGATATGTTCATTTACTGAGTCGGCGTTTCGACACTGGAGTTTAAATTTGAAACTCCTTTGCGAAAAATTTTATAGTTTATTCGACCGTGTCATTTGAACATCAAAAATGGCCAACTGCAAATAAACACAAATAGTCTCTTCAAATAATATGCGCACACATCCTATACATAAATCCAATAATAGACATAAATATTAATCAACTTCCGCTCATGATACCATAATATATAGACTATATGTAGCTTTTTCTGGCTGATTAGGTTTTCCAAATGGCTATAATATTTCAAGTTGAAACGTCGATTTGTATGGGTTTTTCCGTAACGCCAGCATGCAATCTGATGATCTTTCTATCGAGGAAGATTCTTTTCGTGGTGTCCAAATCTCACTCGTTACTAAAGACTGACTAGTGCAAAAAATGAGTACAATATGGCAGACGATTTCTTGAAGCATCTCTTTACAGGGGCACCCAACGGCAATTTTCGGGAAAATATCTGTTCGGAGGACGATTTGAGAACTAGAATTTTCGGAACATTTATTGTAAAATTTCTTGCTTGCCTGCCTCTCCTAGGATTTTCGAACATCTACAAAATGGTATAATTACCCATTTTAAACGGATATTTACCCTAAAAAAGGCCACCTAGAATTTTCCGAAGCATTTTCCTGCCTGACATTTTCGAAAAGGTAAGTTTTGATCCCTATAATTTTCGGATCACTAGACTTTCAGCTAGGAAATCCGAACAGATGAAAAGTTTTTAGGGGATAAAAATATGCCTATATCTACCGTTTAAAAACTAAAATGCGTTCAACAATGCTATGTTAAGTGGTTTGGAACTATATCCTCGTTGGGTGCCCCTGTCTTTATAACTGTTGAGAATGCACAGCGTTGATCACGAAAAGACAAACATAGGAACTGTCTGACCAGCGAAGCGAATCAAGGCTTCGATCAACAAGATCGTAATTGGTTTGATATGAAAAGAAGTTCTCTTCCCTATAATACAATAAATTTATGTACATTAGGATAGGAGAATTTGACTTTCATAACGGTAAGGAAGCCTCCCGCTGTAAGAATCAATTCTGCAAGCGTGTAATGAAGATCCCGTGATGTGAACATCTGAATAAAACCTCTTCAGCACAAATTTGGCATGTTACTATATGCTTCCTTAGGAATTTACAAAACAAAACTTGGACTTCTTGAGGAGTGAAGTCTGTTTTGTTTGGGGCCAGTCCTGGTCATGAAAATAATCTACCTGCTAAACATTAAATGATATTCTATATTGGTCGTCTTCAACTAAAGTTTAGTTTGAAACGTTCGCGCGATTCAGCGCGTTCACCTGCGAACAGAGGACGCCTCGTGGTTAAAAGGCACTAAACTGTTCCAATTGTGAATTAAAGAAATGACACCCACAGTCGATAATAATGCAACTAGCATTAGGACCAAACAAGAACTTTAACGTCTTTACTCAGCAAGCACATTTCGCGTATAATTTCAGAGAATAACGTTCATTAGTTGTGGGGGTAAGGCATTATGGTGAAGATAAAATGAGGGTTGTAACTTCATGTGAAATAGCTAATTTTGACCGGTCTAGTATTGAAGGAGTGCTCACGTGCGAGGTCGGTTGCCATTTTTGTTAACGGTCCTGCGAAGTCCCCTCTATTTCCAGGAAGATTTCTTTTTCGTAATAGCAAACTAATTGAAGATCAAACTTGATTCTCCATACTACTTTTAATCATAAACAAAGTATTCTCATCAACGAAAAAAGCTTGGCAAGACAACACACGTTGTGCACGTGAGCTTTCGTAATGTAGAGTTACAATATTTAAACTAATTTGAGATCAAGGCATCTGTTTCAGGTCGTTTCAGATATTCATCGAAATAAACAGTGTTACGTAATGACTGAAAACGAGATTTCCCCTTGTCTCCGTGTGTTCGTAATTGCTTCATAAGGTCTGGATTTTGTGGAAATCATGGGAAGATTGAAAACCCGTTATAATGAAATAAAACTTGACCTATTGTTTGACTGATGAAATTTATAAACACCGATCGTGTCTCCTACGCTAAAATACCCTTGCCATTGTTTCATTGCATGGTCTGATATTTTGGTTGTTATGTAGGAGACACGTCAATTCACTAGCTGAAAAGCTCGACTAAATCATCTACATACATACATAGCCCTTTATTATCGTGTCTGGTCGTTCTAGCGCCATCGGCACCAACTGGGGACACCAATTAAAATTAACTAAAACACAAAGATAAACTAAAATTAATTTTACAAGTATGATTGATCAAAAGTAGTATGGAGAATCAATTTTGAGCTTCAATTAGTTTGCTGTTACCAAAAAGAAATCTTCCTGGAAATCGAGGGGACTTCGCAGGACCGTTAACAAAAATGACAACCGCACGCACGTGAGCACTCCTTCAGTACTCTACAACTGTCAGGAATAAAACGGGTAAAAACGTGGCATTGCCTGCAACAAACTTGACTAATTAGTTCATTACACCCTCTCGTCTAAACTGGAGTTTTCGAGCACGTGACTAAGCTGCTATGCATGAAAAATGAGGTAATTTTTAGAATGTCAACCTGAAGCTTATCCCTTATGGACACAAGTTCACTTTAAGCTACTCTTAATACAATTTTACATCCTTATGAAGAATGAACAAGCCTATAAGTGCAATTTTTGTCAAAGTTAAAGTTGATATGCTAGGTTTAATTGTTCACGACTCGCTTGATATAACGAGTGTCAACTTTAAACATAAAAAAAATGCACACTATAACAGCCCCAAAAGTGAATTCTAGGTTATTAGCTTACCACGGGCGACTGCCATGTTGAAGGTCATACAAAATACTTGAAAAAAACGTCAATAAAGAGGTGTCATCCTGTTGTCCGTCATTTTGTCGTTTCACTCTCTCGTTATACCCTCTGCTCTCTCGCGCAATGAGAACATTCAGCCAGCAACACAGTCATAAGGGTATATTGCCAACTGTCGTACTCGAAAAAACAATAAAAACTTGAATATTTACAGACTAGACTGTCTGGCAATTCAAATTTCCCTATCGAATTTTGCAGTAGTCAGTGGAATATTGTTCCTCCTTACAATATTAAGCCACTCGTATATTTTGCTGTATTAAAAAAGGGAAAAAAATATGCCCCAGTACTAAGACTGATGCTTTAGTTTCAGTTTCCGGCATTTTTTGTACGCTTTCCTTTTTATGGCGGTTGGGATAGAGACTTCTTTGAAAAGGTTAAAAAGCGATGGGAGGGACTCCCTAAAATCCCGGGGCCTAAAATTGAAGATAGCCCTTACTAGTAACAACCATCGGCAAAAATAAAAGTTTCTAATGCTTTCAGTGATTATTGAAAAACACATGATGTCCACGTGATTGTGTTTTTTTGTATCGATATTTATTTCACTTTTAGAACCAATCAAATCAACCGTCAAAAAATATATTTTGCAATGCACTGAGGGAAACGGAATCAAATGACAGAACTTGAGGAGCACTTCAAATGAATGATCACGTTGGATGTTCTCAAAAATTCGAAAGACTGGAAAGGCCTGGTAAAGCATAATAACAATTCCTGAACACAGGAAAGTACTGTTCAGTACATGGTCACAAATTAGGATTTCATCCACAGACTTCAAACCTTCGAACCACCTTGTACAGCATAAAGTAGTCATAGAGGGTCAGAATTAAGCCTCGTTGGTGTCTAGTTAGTGTCTAGCAAGGTCTAGTCAATGACGTCACCTCCTTAGCAAAACATATGTGTCTAGGAAGTGTCTTGTCACTGCCTTACTACATACTAATTCGGTATAGGTTTACTAATAAGAGTCTTCCTTATACAATAGGCTTGCCTAGACTTGCCCGGTAAGTAACTTAAGCCCGGTTTTCGGACCGTCTATTGAAAGGAAAATAGGAGCGATCACCTAGCAACGCGGGAAACGGCTTCCTATATCTTATTTAGCGCTAAAACTCGGATATATAATCAAAACAAACGCACATATGCACAAAGTAGAGCTGAAAACGCTTTATTTCATTTATTTCAGTCTACCACAGAAAAGTACACACTTGTTCTAGATACGAACGCCAAAGTACGACTATGAAAACTATTAAGCAGAACTGGAAAGTGCGGCTTTGTATCTATCATATTCATGTCCACAATAATGAATTAGTAGGGGAAGGTACTTTGTAGATTTATGGATCAGCTGAAATTTGCAACCCTATTATTAAAGGAGCTGCGCCAGAAATTTATCAAAATTCAATCAGTGGGAACTGCTGCCACAAACTGAGTGAAACATGTAAATAACCGACCGCTTAGAACATGAAAAGGAAGTGTAAAAGAGGCGCGGATGGACAGACTTGGAGAAGATTAAAAAAGATGGCAATTGTGGTTTTTGAAAACTTGTCAGCCCAACATTTTTTCAAAGTTCCGTTTTTGTTTTTAATCGTTTAAGATAATGCTTGGGAGAGATATTTGTTTGACATTTGATGAAGCCCTGATTTTGTCATTTACAAGTAATTTTTCAAGTTTCATATCAAAAAAGGACGCATAACTGGCATTATTGACAATAAAATGAACTAGACAGACGTGTCACAGCCCCTTTAAACAAAGCTTTACCGATCTGAGTGCGTTCAAAATTTTTGAAATTAACAATACAAATTTTAATATCTCAGCAACATGAAATCAAATTAGAACAACTAAAAAACGTCTTAAAACAGCAATATAGCGTAAAAAGGAACTGAGTAATATTGCCTGAATGAGCTATATTTTGGAACTCAATGACGTCTCAGGAATAAAATATTACACAATAGCTTTGAGATTGTAAAGCTGACTGGTTCAGTTTCCACTGCTAATTATTTTCCTTGATTCATACTATTTATTGGGTGCATGAACACTTGAAGATCGTTCATAGCTGCGCGCTGTAATGATAATGAATGCCGCAGTAGGTGATGATCACCACTATATAAGAAATGAAACGGGCTTACATCATATTGTTCGGTGTATGAAACATCAATTTTATGCTAACGCTCATCATGAATTTAAGGAGTACATAAAAACTTTCCACCCAACCGAATGTGGAAACTAACTTAAAGATAAGCAGTGTTCCAGCCAGAGTGCGCCATTGCGTGAATCCCGCAAAAGATGGAGAGATGGCCCCCGCCAAAAGCGTTCAAGGGCCATTATGGCCCTTTCGTTCTTTAATTCCGTGGGCTTAAAAATGTCGTTCTTACTTAAATTACAATAATTTTCCAATTAAACAGAATTTTTAGTCTAAAGAACAACGTCTCCGTACCTTTGTACACAACATGAAAATCGATCGATGAATCTTCTTGCGTATACCTGATTTACATTAAGTGGTCTGGAGACCACTGAGCCTCAAATTGGCTTATGTAATATCGCAGGAGTTCAGGATAGCATGACGTTCTTGCCCGAAAAAGGATAAACCTGACAAATGCATCTTCGAGGTCTATGAAAAGTTTTCTCTTAGTAAGTAACGAAAAAGTGGATGGAGGCGAAGCAGTTCAGAAGAAGCGAAAGGAAGCAGATCTTGACGGTAAAGTGGAAAATAAATTGAAAAAAAAAAACTTATCATTTTTGTTGCATACATTCTGATTGTATTGTTTACTTTATTACCGAAGATTTCCTCTGTTGTGTATAAAAAGGGATGCTCCATGTCAGCTTCAAGTAAACTGCCATTTTCATTTCCTTAACTTTCCAACTGTTTCTTCTCTTTTGCATATTAGAAAGATACTGGTACATTGGCCCTTTCTTGAAAAATCTGGCCCCCCAAAACGGGTAGTAGGGGCCACTTTGGCCCTCAAGCAGAATTTTCTGGCTGGAACACTGGATAAGTAGCCCTGTGAAGCAAAAGGACATTCTACACTTGTCATAAGTGTCATAACAGAAAAGTATCTCCAGGAGGGAATGGTTAATGACGATAGCTAGGTTCAGTCCCCCGTCCCTAATCAACAATCAGGTTATCCACTGGATAGATATCTCAGTATCCTGAGCCCGCACTATACATGCACCTTTTCAACAACTGGGGCCTGTTTCATTTCATGTTTCTTAACTAAAAAGTAAATTTTAATAAAGTTTGTTACCTCGTGTTGAGTTCTTTCTTTCTTCCTCTGTTCTTTGAACTTGATGTTTTTCCTAACAGTGAAAAAGATAAGTGGAAAGCACGTATGAGTTATGACCCAATGGAAAATGCATTTTTAAAATGGACACCTAAAATTAAAAATGAGAGTGAAACCGGTGGACATGACGAAGGCACCTTTACAAAGAAGACTTTCTTGAAAGATATTAATTGTTCCAGTCACAGTGATCCCCTGTCAGGTTATAACAAACACTCTCCCAGTCCCCCGGGGGCACTTCGTTATATCGCGGTTTCCAGCTGTGTTATAATGCATTCACTTGTAACTCACCAAAAGTTCGTTTCATCGTGATCACACGCAAGAGGTCCAGACTAATGAAAGATCAGTCAATGTACGTTTTTCCTTCGACACACTTTGTTCAAAATACCAACAGCAATGTGTACGAAGCCCTGAATGATTCGAATGGCGTAACCACGCTTGTTAGAGTTGTTCCGTGTTTAACCTTTGCAATATTGCCTAAATGCACGTTTTTGGAATCAAATCGTTGCTGATCTCTATTACTGTACCAAGAAGATGCGTTTGGAAGGAACTTGGAATCAGGAGGCACCCTCCAAGCTGACATGGATCACGCGATACCATTGGTTAACTGCGTGGTTAACTCAAGTATTGGAGGATATCGTTATTTGGGATTGACGATATTCTCATTCCATTTGGGACTGACAGAAGTCCCCCTAAGATAAAGCAGCTGAGGGGGCAATGAGAGGCAAAGATTGGTAACCTGGCAGGAGGGTGCGCGCGCACCCTTTGAATTGCAAAATGGGTATGAAATCTCAGGATCTCTGGAGAAAAATTATGGTATAAAAAGAAAACAAAATGGCGCAAGAAGGAGTTTGTACACTAGCTACTATTTGAATAACCTTAGTTAAAGAACTGTACATTATCCCTTACAATTAAATGGTATTTTCGCGCAGTTGGTTAGCTTTTGGATATAATGTTATATTTTATGTTTCACACAAAAATGTTTATTTCGGGCTATCGTCAGTTCGTCTTAAATACTGCAGAATGTTCCTGTCATTTTCGGTATCTGCCATATCTCATTCAACGGGATAAACAGAAATTTCTCGTGTCATTTTTTTAAATGAGACGTCAAAACGTTCATGTGTTGTTCACGTGGACATCACGTGGTAGGTAATGTACCACGCGGTTTTGGGAAATAAGCAGACATAAGTGGCGGCTCGGGTCGAGGCTTCTGAGAGTTGGCTCCACTTCCGGTGGGATGGAAGTATTTAGCGTCAAGTATGGGCTCACTGCTGTTTGTAATGCTGCTACTTCCGGTTATGGTAAGAGGACGGCTGAGAGGGGTGACACCCCCTGTTGAGAGGGCTCCTGATGGTATATTAGGGGTTGACTGCCCCACTGGATGGGGTAGCAGGCCTGGGCGGGGTCCTGGCTTGCTGTATGAAACCTGTAAAGTCAAGTGAACATTAGTTTACATTTGTATCACTTAAGAGATCACTTTAAAAGCCAAGGCAACCAATCTTAAATAGTGATGTTGCTGACAAACCAAAAAAGAAATCTTCAACATGAACAAGACTGGTGGAACATTCATACAAGTAAAAACGGCACACTATTAACAATACCTACGCGAATTGGCCTCAAAGGGAAGCAGAGTGAATTGGTAACAAAACAGATTGGTAAAAAGTCAATATCATAGTCTTGATTGCCGCGGGTGTATTTCGAAGGCCGCAACTTTATTTTAAACCTTCTTCAAGGGGCCATCTTGGCTTCGGAAAATATCGGGAGTTGAGAGGAGTGCCTGTCCATTTGACTGTACCCATTCCACCTCTCTTTACGATTTGGGACAGGTGATACTCAATCTGGTACGATACTTAAGGCCCGCGGAACACACTAGCTAACACGTTGCAGCAACACGTCGCGGCGACAAATCGAGAATTTTTGCGAAAATCTTTGTCTCCGCAACAGAATTTTGTCGCCGCAACGAGTCGCTCAAAATCAAATCAGACTCACCTGAATTCGCGCAACTTGTTACGGCGATAAAATGCTGTTGCGTAGACAAAGATTTTCACATAAATTCTCCAGTAAACACTAAGCGATTTGTCGCTGTAACGTGTCGCGCAACTTGTTGCAGCAACCTATCGCCCGACCTGTACTCACGGAGTGGTATGTCACCGCGAAGTGTTGTAGCGACATGTCGCTTAGTGTATACAGACCCGACCGGTTCATACATTACCTGAGTTGGTTCAGTAAAACGAGGAATGTCTGTTCTGTTTACAGTGGAACTAGATCCAGTAGTAGAGCTTGGAACCTGAAACCAGTAACATCAACCGCTAAGTCACAATAGCTCCAAATTGTGCAGGGTTCGTATAAAACGCAAGCGAAGCAGAGGTTACCTTATTATATGGAGCCAAAGGAGGTCTCCGAGTAGACACGGTCTTTGTATTCATTTCAAAAGGTCCAAGTCGTTGCTGGGACATCATCTGATCATTCATTTGCTTGTTCAGCCAGTTAATTACTGTAATAAAACAGACTAGTCTGAGAATTGTTACCTAAAAATAACAAGAATGTGTTGAGATTAACCTTCAGAGGGGAATTTGCTGGACAGTTGACCGTAAAACGAAGTTCAACAGCGATTTCCGTCTACGACTTTGAAAGAAAGTGCCCCAAGTATCCAAAAACGTCCGAAATCGATCCAAAAACTGCCGAAAATTTCCGAAGATGGCGTGTCGGGCGGCTTTCGAATTTCCGAAGTTGACACAAATACTGAACGACAACAAAGGGACTCCGATTGCATTTGTGAAAGCAATGTTGTAATCGTGATTTTGTAATGATCTCGAATTGCACCCTCACCTTTTAAATTAGTCACCAATTAACTTATCTCCAGGTCCTGCGATTCCCTTTTCTGTCGCACAACCTACTGCTCAGCATAGCGTATACACCAAATCAGTGCTTCTATTCAGGCTTTTCGCCAGACATTGAAAACTGGCCGTCCAGAAGGCATGTTTTCCCATAAAATTATAAAATATTAAGTGAATTTTCCTTGTATTTCTACCAAAACGGGCGCCCATAGGATGGCTGGACACCCTTCTGGCTAAAACCTTGCTTCTCTTATATTAACAGGTCAGTCGTAAGCGTCAATTCGCCACTTTTGTCACCAGAAGGAAACTGGGCCGAGCTAACGTTCGCAAAGACTTCTGGGACTTTATCTGGGGTCCGGGAAAAAAATGGGCCAATGACTGCTCGGCGCGTCACCAGTAACTATCCCAGAAGCAATTGCAAGACGAATTTCAGTTCCAGTTCCCTTCTCGCTTCTAAATTCGTGTGGTCCCTGGTGAAACGTGACGCGTAAAACAGCACCATTCTAAGTAACTTAGCTTTGTTCTACTTTTACCCTGTGATACATGAGTTTTTTTAAATATTTTTGTTCTTCTCACCATTTTCGTTGGTTTTCAAAAGCTGTTTGCTTTCTTCAAGTTTCCCCGTTGTCGTTTCAAGTGACTCTGTTAGCTTCTTAACCTATATTTGCAGTTAAAATCAACATTTTTAGTCACCAAAATGAAAAACGATTCAGGAGAGAGTGCGAAGGAATAAACGGCTGAGTTGAAAGATTAGCTTACTAAGACAACGAAGGCAATGAAAACGACACCAAGGAAGTATAGTTATCGCTGCGCATTCACGTTCAGGAAGAGAAGAAAGTAGTCTGTCTGTTAACGTTTAGGATACAATTTTCACGCAGTAGTTATGCCAAAGACGGCGAAGAAGAAGCGTGTCAAAAAGACTGATGAACACGGAGTTGCTTTGCTTTCTGAATCCATTGATTTTGGGGCGTTGTTGGCGTTACCTTCTTCGTCTTTTCGTAAGAACTCTCGTAATAACTTGTTGCTGTATGTAAACAGTTTTATATATATATAAACCTCTACCTCATCAGCGTCTCGTGAAATTATATTAATTGAAGTAAACGTTTAATACCTCCTCCTCTTTACTTTTCACAGTGGTCTGTAAGCTGGTATTTTCCTGCTGACATTTTTCAAGGGCTGTTTCCTAAACAAAGAGATAGATACCATAGTCGTAAGAAGTACATTCGCTATAAACTCCACTTGGGCCTATTTTCAGGCTTGAGTCGCTTCATATTCCCCTCACCAAATCATGTTACCTTTTCAAGCAGAAGCTTTTCTTGTTTTGTGGTGACAACATTTTTTAGTTTCATCTGCAACAAAATGAAAAGATCAAGTTTTATCTTTTGCAAAACGAGTGACACCAGTGTAGATCGCTGCACTGCCTTTTCTTGACAGATTTGCTTATAATTGGGTGGGGTGGCACAAACTCGCTCCAACGTTTCTTGCGTACCACCCTTAACCATTCCAACCAATTCATAATCCGGGCAATTATATTAGCCGAATAAGACAAGTTATTCAAAGGAAGGCCAATTGTTTTAGTGACGCTTTCTTAACGTTACTATCGTAGCTACTTGAAGCCCAAGTTGAAAACTATTTGTTGCTAATCGGAGAGAGTCTATACTGTGTAACTCTTAGGCGAGAAGGAATATTTTACCTTTGATTTGCTGGTTCGCAGCTCAGACTGAAGCCTGTGGATTATTTCGTTTCCCTGAAGAGTAAGAAAAGTAAAAGGGTATCTTAACAAAATGAGGGAATTTTGACACGTTTGTAACAACCAAAATCAAAGTAAAGTTGTACAATCTAATTAGGTTATCCCGAAATTTCAACATTCATTGCGCACCAGTTCTGGAAGCAAAAATATCCAAGTATGAGTTGTCCCTTTTTCGAAAATTGCCCAAAAAACCGAAAACTGAAACTCTATTAGGACAGCCTGGACATTTTTTAAAGATAATGTCGAGCGAAGTTTTTACTGGAGCTTAAACAAACCTAATAATTATCGGTTTCAGGCCTAATCTTAAATTTGTTACAAAATCGACCAGCGATGAAGAAAAACTGTTCATCATAAAACAGTGAAGAAATAGTGTGTGGTATACCTTGATGACCTCAGCAGACACAGATTTAACTGTCGCTTCAAGTTTGTTAATCTGTTCGAGCCTTTCTTCCAATATCTTTTCTTGTTTTCTGCGCTGTTCACTAGAATTCTCCATTAGCTCGTTTGTCCGTGTTATAACCTTCACAAGATAACAAGATAAAGGAAAGTGAATAACTTTCAGCTTTGGGAATAAATGTATGTCAAAGAATATTCCTATAGGCATTAAAAAAAATTTCGGCGGGAACCACTGAGTTGAACGCCTAGCGCTGCATCCAAACGAGGTATAGCCCTACTGTACTCCTCTCCCCCACCCCTCCCCTACAACGCGAAAAAGAATTTTGCCACAAGCCTCTGTTTCAAAGCGAGATTAAGGGCGAAGCCATTGCACTTTTTTAAGGTGAGGGTTTTGGAACGTAATTACTACAGGCGAAACTTTGAAAAGTTGTTGTTTTTTTCTTCTTAAGGTGCGCTTGTTGTGTTCTACAAAAAGGCTATTATCAGTACCAGTTCCTTGTCTCTAAGCTCCTGTTCAAGTACAGCCACTCTTGTCTGAAGCTGGCTGACTGTTTTACTGTTTTCATGTCTCTCTGAGTCAAGTGAACCATTTTCACGTCGAAGTTTATGCAGTTCTTGCTTAGCATACTTGCATTCCTGTAAGCAAGGAAAAAACGTAAGTAAACTTAGCAAACCAACAAAATAGTTATTACTAATGTGCTCAACAATCTTACCCTAGATCTTGTAATAAGCATGTAAGCTTATAATAATAATGCATTCATGATTTCTCCGACCCTGAGATAAGGGGCGCGGGGTGGGGGGAGTCTCAAAAAAATTTTTTTCAGCTCTTCAGACCTCAGTGTGGTCTAAAAATAATGGGGGGCCCTCTCTCCTGGATTTAGGTTAGGGTTAGGGCTAAGGTTAGGTTAGGTTATTACATATTTAGTTTCAGGTAAGGGTTAGTTTAGGTTATTATATATTTAGTTAGGTTAGGGTTATGGTTTACAGGTCACTACCCTACAACTCAGATGTTCACTTGGCAGTTACCTCATCAAGAGCAGTCAACTTTGACCTAAGGTCTCTGATACATGAATCTGCCTGGTATTTCTTTTGAGTAAGGTCCTGTTGTATTAAACATGAAAATAACTTAGACAATTTTTACAAAATCAATGAGTAAATCCATAGCAGGTAAACTAAAGGCACCGTGCCAGCTAGAAAATGAAAACTAGCCATTGGGGGAGGATATAATCTCCTTAACAGCTGCTCAGGTCAAATTCATGCATTTCTCCATTTCTTTCTGTGACTTTAGCAGGAACGGCTGCAAAGGAGACCTAGAGGTAGGGTTGTCAGAAAGTTTTGAAGTAGACGGTTGAGTTGCCAAAGTAAGCAGCCAGTCCAGGGATATTTTATTTGAAAAACGCCATCCGTAAGGAAATGTTAAGCAGAGTAGCCAGCCAATACTAATCAAGTACACCCTAGGTGGCGATTTTCACAACTTGCTAGAGGTATGTCTTATTCATCAAGAGGACGCTAGGTGAGTTATTCATTAATTTCTTATGCTCATTTGACAGAAATGGATACGCAAGTTTGATGAACTGGTGCTAGTTACCCGGTTGGAATTTTCCACATCGTTGAGTCTGGCTTCAAGTTTCACGATCTACAAAAAAAATTGATATTTTGAGACATTCAGAAGAAAAAACAAATCCTTTATAAGAATGCATATTTTAATTTAATTTTACATGTAATGTTTCATTACCTGTGTGTGGCGACTTTGTTCAATCTCTCGCTTTTCTTTCTCAAACTTCTGCTGGTTCTCAGTGACCATCTTGACACAAAAGAAACCAAAGAAAACCGATAAAAAAAATGGACAATTTGTAAACAAAGACTGAGATAGAGCGATTTTCGTACGTCCTTGAAAAATGGTTTCGGTAAGTGTTCGTTAGTTGTTTTGTCAGCCAATGGTTGAAAAGAACAAAACATGGACTCTTCGTTTTCCCGCCAAAGAAAACCCTAATATGGAGAAGGCATTGTTCGATTGACCAATCGTGTTGCAGTATGACGTCAAAGCGATTTCTAGAAGGTTCTTCGGGCATGAAGTTTTTTCAGCCGAGCGTTCGCTTAACCAACCAAAAGGTGCGTTTGTATCCGTTCGATAAACCAATCAAATCGCTCTATTTCCGTTCTTTTGTTGTTTCTGTTTTGTTCGCGCGTTTTCATTTCAAGGTCATACGAAAATCGTTCTACCATTTTGATAATTAAATCAATACCTGAAGGGCTTTCTCTCTCTCAGCAGTCAGTTCTTGAGCATGTTTGTTTTCCATCTGACATGATCTTGCAGAGCAATCAGATTGTACTGAGTTCAGTTCCCTTGTTTTGATTGCAAGAACCTTTATGAACATAAAATTGAGGTTAAAACTTTGGAATACAAAGCAGATGAACCCCTCTAAAAGAAAGTAACTCCTGTCCCTTTTATGGTGGTTACAAAATTTTATTACACACATCTTTTGGAGCCCCAAAATAACATGCAAACATGCAGTCAGGAACGATGCACAATAAAACCTTATATGAACAATATTCTGTTAAACATTACCACAAATTAATCCACTCACTTAAACACACGTAAAGGAATCAATACTCTAATGTCAATCACATGGTCAAAGTTTTCATTTTTTTTAAGAATTCTAGTAGCAGGAGAAAGGTGTAATGTTACAGGAGAATATTTTGAAAGATGCTCCACGTCTGAATAAAAAAATAGTCATAGGCTACCGAACTTTAATGGGAGAATTCTGCGTAATAAACGGAGAATTCTCTGATCTCCAATACCTAATGAACACTCTGCGTGGTGGTGAGTTAAATAAACCTTCTCCCATAAAACCTAATAAAAGAAATGTAATATAACACAACTAAATATGTTGAAATGTCACATCCCAGGACACTTGTAAAATGTTTACTGCAACACTACATGTATAGAGAGAAAAATTTATCTTTCTCAAGATATTTCATGATGACTCCAAGGAAAAAAAGGAAGTACCTCTTGACAGCTGTTTAGCTTTTGCTGAAGATCAGCCTCTGTGCTGGCAAGACGTCTTTCTAGCATCTGCTTTTCATCCTGTAACAGACGCAGGAGTTACATACATTTGTATTATCATGATATAAGTTCTTACTATGTCAATAATGCATCTAGCATGACCGAACAAGCCAAGTCAATGACAGATTTATCATAAAGCCGGGCTATAAAAAAACTTGAATACCAGCTGGTCCTTGTGCAAGCAGCTGTCACATTTTTCTCGCCCAGGGCAACTTCTTACTCGTTTTAGTGAATGATTTTGTTAGAGGATGATTTGCCTGGACCCTTGCTTATTGGGTAAGCAAGCTTTAAACGTTACCTGCCCAGCAAGAAAATCCACCTCTCCCAGATGATGGGACAGGACATTTTTCCAGCCCTGATAAGACTAAAAGAAAATGTTTTCTTGTGGGAACAAATCAGTGGGAAATCCTTAGCCAGAGGTAATTGGGACACAAATTTGCTTAACCTTTCAGCCCACTTCATGGAGTCAGCCACATTACAGGGTTCCCATAAAGTGTCTGCAACCGCCCAAAAAACCAGCTACTTCGAGGTTTGAGCCGTCCTCATTTGGAGGGGAAAGGGTTAAGTGAGGGAGTGAGAGCCTTAAATTGCCTTCAGCACTCGATTGCTAAACCAAATACTTTTACTTCCGGGCTGTCTACTTTAAAACTTAATAAGCTTAATAAGAACCCTGATATTATAATAAATGTAGTTTTACCTGTAAATGCTTGAGACAGTCTGCAAGATACTTCTTAACTTCTGCATCTGACCCGGGAAGAAACTTTAGAGACAGGTGGGTCAAGTGTTTGAATGGATTGGTTTCTACAACATGAAGAGTAGCAATACCTTGATCCAAACCACTTCCAACAACAAACTGTAACAGAAACCTAGGTTCAAAAACAAACAGCAAGTTTACCATGAGTTTTCAAGGCAAGAACATCAAGGAATTTCAAGCACATCAGTATACTATCTACCCTGCAAGCAGAGGCCCCCTCAAGGTTCATAGATAAGTAAAAAATGGAAGAGCCTCTGCTCACAGGGTAAAGGCCATTACCATGGTAAGATAGCAATACAGGCATAAGGGTTAGATATAAATTGTATGTATGGTACAGTGGAATCTCAATACAACGAACCTCCAAATAACGAAGTCCTCAGTATAGAGAATGATTTTCTTTATCCCAGTCATAGTAAGATATATGCAAAAGAACCTCGAAAACACACATTCCTAATGATATGTGTTCCCCTACCTGGGAAACACATGTCCCTAGTGATATGTGTTCCCCTACCTGGGAAACACATATCCCTAGTGATATGTGTTCCCCCACCTGGGAAACACATATCCCTAGTGATAAACGCGACAATTCTACGTTATTTATAGCCATTTCTTTGTCAGCTGAAACTTGGAAAATTGTTACAAAGAAGGTGTGTCAATTTTTTTGCTTAAACTGACATTTTAAGCGAGAAATGTCAGTATTTTGGAAAGCATCTTTTTGCAAAACAAGAACTGATTACACGTGCAAGACTTTGTGGACAAGACTTGGTGACTGGTAAGAATTTCTTTTTTAATCAGTGCCATACAAAGAATTTTGCATTTTTTCTCGGGAAAGTTATTCTATAAAAGCAATAGAAAACTGTATTCCTCAGTTTGCATAGCCTGATATAAACACTCGAGGTGTTGGGAGAATTCTCAACAGTTGTGCAAAACCTCGACTTTGTCTCGGGTTTGTATGACAGTCTCAAATTCTCCCAACCCCTCTTGTGTTTATATCAGGCGATGCAAACACGGAAAACGTTTTCTACTGCTTAATTCACACTGGATTGAAGCTAACCCTTGATCATGACATATAACTTTATTTAAACTCGCATTTAGAATAGCTCGATAGAGCTTGTATCTGCGAGTATAGCACTATTTAAGAAATGCAACAAAATTGATAAAGTATGAAAGTATAAAATTGCTACGCATGCACATATTAGTCTGAATGTGTCGTAAGTGTTGGTATTCAGCATTTATTTTTAATTGGAAAAAGGAGCACTGACAAAGCCAGAAAAGGGATAAATAGGCTTAATACAAGTTCAAACAAGAGTATCAAGTAATTTTTTCTGCTTTGTTTACATTTTTATAAGTTTAGACTCATTTTTGTCGTGCATGTACTTTTACCAATACAGAAAATCAAACTTACTTAGGATGGTCACGTTGTTCCTCATCACGGCATAGCTCCAGCAGATCGACAAATTTTTGCGGGAAGGCACAGAAGTCAACTAAAAGCCCTTGTTGAGTTTTTAGCCTGTTTAAGTTAACAAACGTGGCTGTGATTAAACTTTTTGGGCTACAAATAGGCTCAAATTCTTTGTCAGAAAACAATACTGTAATTGACTTACGTATGGAAATCGCTTTCCCCTAGAGCTAAATTGTATAGGAAAAACAAATCCTCTTCATCAGTGATTCGGACGAACAGTTCCTGTAAATAAGACAATGAAAGCTTTAAGTTGCAATCTTAGTTGCTTCGAAACATGCACGTTGAGTTGAACGCAATGTTTTTCTATCACAATTCCCGATGAATTAAAGTGACCAGTAATGAAAATGCACAAAAAGGAGAGCTAAACAACTTAAAAGGTATGAGAGTATGTGTTAAGCTGTGTTTGGTGAACCATACGTTAAAATACGGCACCTTGTTCGATGGTGAAGAGCTTGCACGGAAAGCGACATTAATGCGTACAGCGGATCGTCTGCAAACAAAAATAGGGCTTCAATCTAATAAATGGAAACTCATGGTAAGATTCAATAAATCTTATAACCAAGAACGGTACCTATCATCGTGGCTTGCCGATTTGAAATGGACTGCCACAACCTTGTTGAAGAATTCCTCCATCTTGGAAAGCTTGAAAAGAAACTTCGCGCCTGTTCCCAGGCCCCAAGAGACTTTCTAGTGCCAGACTTCCTCCGTCCTGCAGGAGCTCTTTGCGATGGCGATATGGATCAAGCTTTACACGAGCACAACTTTGTACTCAAAGAATCAAATAGTGCTATCAATTCTCGCTGATTTTACTGGTTCTCTGGTTGTATTAGGGAGGATCTGTTAGGTGTACTCGATCTCTGTGTTTAAGACTGTCAGTGACGCAAGTGTACAAGCCATTCACGCGTGTCAAATTGGGCGTGGAAAACTACCAACCAAAAATTATAAGCGGTTCTCTCTGCTCGGAACTAAACTCTTTTTTAAGCAAATTCTTAGCCTGTTTACAGACCCTCTATTTTCTCTTTACAGATCGTCGATCGAGCAAGCACATGAAAATAAAAACCGATGGGGGGTTTATTGACTTCAAGCGGCAAGGGGGTGGGGTTGGGGAAACGAAAACGTCTGTGCACGGGCCTTTCCGGGAAACGGCCCACCTACCCCTCCCCTAAGACAACATTTTGCTCTAAGTGAGAAGAAAGTGTTAATGTTGACTTAGGAGAGGGGTAGGTGGGCAGTTTCCCGGAAAAGTATGATCCGCATAATATTTTGTGCACCAACATGGCCACCTTGTCACTGGTTCGTCGTTGTGGGTTTGCCCTCACAAGTGTTTTAAATAACATAGCCCCATAAATCACACCAAAAATGTAACATCAGGCTGTCCCCACGTGGACGCACCAATAAACTGTTATAAATGAAAATTATGTACACCAACGTATCCGTTTAAAATGTACGTGAGTGCATCGTCTTCACGGCAACCGATATTTTTCGTCAAAGAGGATCGAGAAGTGTGGCGTGACAAAAAAGGGGGAAATGTCACGGGGTGAGGTACGGGGTAATATGCACCACAATATGCCTCCAAATTTGAGCCTATCTTACAAGTTCTCTTCGTTCTTCCATGGGTTAATTTACCCAAACTGCATCTTAAAATTAACTTTGAACATGTTTAACTGATGTCAGAAGGGGAAAACAAAATTTGAGTCGAAGGATGTCAAAAATGTCTGCATTTTTATTAACCTCTGTCAACCCTCTACATCTTTTCTTTACATGCAAGTACCTTTTTTCACTTAGAATTAAATACTGATTCCATTGAATTGCTTTTTTACAATTGGGTTCAATCACGGCTGAAAAAATAGTTTTTTTCATCATTTTTCCCATCCGTATAATTTTATATACACATGTGATAGTGTTATGTACAATCGAGTTGGATACGAACTCGAAGCAAACCTGAAATTCCCATTGTATAGAAAATCTGCTGAGGTGCTTGCCTGAAAAATAATTTTGCTGCCCTAAAAATTTTTAAACATCACAAACTGAAATTCTCCTTTCCTTTGGCTAGAAATTTCCATAGAATTAGTATCGAGAAATTGCTAAAATATAAGGAGAATTTATCTTTGTTGGCCATAGCCTTCAATAGATGTGAATGATTCTTTGCTTTATACTTACAACGATATAAGTAATAATGTCTGACCCTCTCGATATCCACAAAAATCAGGTACATCAATATTGGAATTTTTCGCTTGATCTTAGTCAGACTATGATCGATATAAGCCCCTCAAAAAGGGCCTTTGAAAAATATAAGCCCTGGGGCTTATTTTCGGAATTTTACTGTAGTCAAGGAACTAATTATATTATTCTGAAACAATCCTCCGAGCGATCAATTATTTTTTTAGTCCGTGACGCTCCCAGAAGCAAGATCGTTTTCCTGTTCTTCGTCTCTGTACTCAGTTTGACACCGCTGACAGTTGTTACCGTGGACAAATCTTTGTAACTTTGTACAAGGAGGGTGTCCCCAGTCCTGAAAGAAAAGTTGTGATTAAACCGAGCCAACAGCGTAACAGCTTTTTACCTCACGGAAAATATAACTACGCGCGTGAGCGTTCTTCTTGACGGCGAGACATAACAATGGGAACGCACAAAGTTTAAAGGAGGCGACAGTCACAGCTACTAACATGCTTGTCTCGTGTTTGTGACCAACAATCCAATCAGCAGAATTCTCGCGTAAAAGACGCAATGCGTGTAGCGAAAGACGCGGAAAATTTCCGTACTCAAGATAAATGTGAGGCTACGACTACAGTGCAGCTAGTGTTTTTGCATGACTTCTGATTGGTTAAGACAATGGCGAGAGAGTTTTTTAGCCAATCACAATGTATAAAAGCAAACCAAAGAATGACTCATACCTTGATTCTCTCATAGGTATCACTGATGATACCAATGAACAAGCTTAGCACCACGTAGATGAAGAGTGAGATGAAGGTGTAAAGGTAGATTTTGCTAAACACCCACACAGCATAACTCTTCTGGTCCATCTCAGCAAACGTCATGAACATATCATCACCATTAATTAGCGAAAACATGCATTCTGAGACAGTCCACAGATTACGGAACTAAAAGAGTGAAAAACAAAAGAATCAGCAACACTGAGAATTTGCCATTCTTACAGTGCTGGTATATGGTGCATTCCACTCACGCGTAGGTAGGAATACGGCAATATATAGATTCTCTAAACTGATCTCCAAACATTTCTTAAAAGAACTAGTTGAGAGAATTTTGATTAATGATCAAAGCATTTTCCTATAGGTGATCAGTTTCTCAATTCTCATAACCTTTTCTCCTTATTATGTATGGATACTGTTATTTTAGTGCATTTTTATTTTGGTGAGTTTGTTCATCAGGATCGACAATAGCTTTTTTAACAGACCAATCATGGCGTGTTACAATGTACTCAAATCCTCATACACAGGCGGAGGCCAGAACAAGGATTTCTGGACTGTTTCGCAGATGGACTTAACCAGAGTTTATTTTCGGCTATGGCGCAGGCCAAGTTTTAACATGTTTAAAGAAAAAACTACAAGCCAATCACCCTTAGCCATTTCAAGGGGTTAATTCCAAAGATAAATACAGTATGACCATACCTTAACATGATAAGGCCCTAAAACAATCCATCCACAAAACAGATATCCAAAATACAGCAATGAACCACAGACACAGAAACGAAGCACGCTGGGAGCCGACGCTTTCAACGTTACCAGCAAAATCTAAATGTTAAACACAAACAATAAGAACAAACCAGACGCGAAATCTTTTAGTGTGACCTTGGAAATTTTGTGCAGGGCTGTGTGGCATCCTGAAAGCCTTACTACACTTTAAACCAAAATATATGTGTTCCCGACCCTAATCCCCGGGAGGGGGGGGTGGGGGGGGGGGGGTTACTGCCATAATTATACGGGCCATATAGGTATGTGCCGCTGTGAAGGGTATGGATTTCAAGCAGTTTACTGTAGGATAGGGTATATAAATCAGAGCATTTGGCTCTAGAATAGGGTATCATTTTTCAGGAAACTGATCAGTTGGTTGAAGATTTTATCTAGACTAGGGAAACAGCTACTCTAGGATAGGGGGATTTGGGGAGTTTACTCTAGTATAGGGTAGCAAAATTCAGCTGAAGTAGCTCTGGTATAGGTTAAGGGTTCCAGGGTCCCAGCGGCACATCCCCACCCAGAAATTCCTAAAGTACCCCCCCCCCCCGGGCCCTAATCCTTTGTTATCAAGAGATGGATGATAAATACAGACCTTTTTCTAGACCCTGGTTAACCCTTTAGGCCCCAATATCCACTTACAAATTCTCCAAACTGATCTCTATACATTTCTTTCATGAATGAATTGAGAGAATTTGATAAAAGGTCAAAGCATTTTCCCTTAGGTGATCATTTTGTTAATTCTCATAACCTAATCTCTTGACATTGTTTGGATAGTGTTAAGAGAAAATTGATGTTGGTCACTATTGGGACTTAAAGGGTTAAAGAACACTCAAAATCTCACTCTATTTTAGACCAAGTGGGGGTCAAATTATATCTACTGAGCAATAATTTCCTGTAGTGCAGTTTAAAATAATATTATTCTTAACAAAGGGGTTGTGTCTTTTGAAGTTTGTGGATAAAATCCTACACTTTGTGCATTCAAATCAAAGCTACTGTGCAATAATGCAGGTTTTTGTTTGGTACAAACTTACATTGTACTTCTTGAAATGTCCCAGATATCTCAACAGGCCTGACCAAGTTAACAACACTGCAGTACCAAGGAACATGCTACAAACTGCATACTGATCTTCAACCTGTTAAAAAATATCACAATAGACAGAGTTATCCTTAAAGCTTGTTTAAAGTATTTTCAAATAGCAAGCAAAGCACACGATAAACTCAACCAGAAGTTTACTCCATAGGCAAAAACTATATCTTACGATATTCATGTCAATTGTCATCTTTATTATAGATCCAATGACTGCACAGCCGTCGCTGATGACAATCAACACAAACCATAGGTTGAGCAGATCCAAAGTATCCCAGTAGGACAGGTGATCTTTAAGCTCATGATTGAAGAATCTACGCGTTGCCTGTGAAAGTAACAACCATAAAAGCTTCAGTCACTATTCAAACAAAAGCTGAGAAATAATAATAGATTAAGTTCTGCCCAGATACCTTGTACTTTGTAACTGTTCTTAAAGGGGCTGTGTCACGGCAGTCCATTTCATTTTGTTTAATTTTGCCAATTACTCGTTCTCAATCGCTATGGAACTTAAAGTAAGCAAGGAAATTACATGTAAATGACAAAATCAGAAATCTGTGACAAACAAATATGTCTCCTGAGCATTATTTTTGAAGTTGCAAGCAGCAAGGATCAACTTTGAAAAACTGTTAGGCTGAACAGTTTTCAAAAACCCTAATTTCAATCCGTTTCAATCTTCTTCAGTTTTGCCCATCAGTGGCATCTGTTGTTTCTGTTATGTTATTTTAACCTCCCTTTAAAGTTTTAAATGGTTATTTTTATATTTCTCTTAATTTAACGGGCATTTTGTAATTTCCTAATTTGGCTGAATTTCGCGACACAGCTCCTTTAAAGAGCTTAACAATTCTGACCAATATTACATTGCAGGGGTGGTTCCAGGATTTTTTTTAGGAGGGGGTGCACTCGTCTCTTGCTCTACTTCAACACCAATAAACCACATAGTTTTTTTTTTTTTTGGAGAATACCAGTTGTATTAGAAAACTGCAGGTCATCTCTGCAGGTCATCTCTGTAGATCCGCCCCTGCATTGTTATTATAGAGGTGCAAGGATGATGTAGTGGTGAAGGCACTCTCCCTCCAACATTGTGGCCTAGGATGCCATACATGTACATTGGTTGGGATTATTATTGGTCACGTTCTTTGTCTAATGCTCTGTTTGTTATTTGAAGTTTTGGTTTTCTAAGGTAGTTGTGCTTCCTACTCTACTGAAAAACCAGAACATCCTAACGGTATGCACAAACATGTGAAAAGAAGTTCTTAGAAGCTCCTAGATGTTTCACTGGTAATCAAGTAACATTGGAATTTACCATGTAGGATGTGTCTTCCGCGCGCAAAGAAAGTCGTGTCCAATAGCCCAGGGCTAGTGGATTTTGCTATTGGGCTAGTGATTTTTGTTAGTAACTTGTCCAACGGAAAGGTGCTGTTTTTTGGGGGAAATTCAAATTACAGAAGGATTGTAATCAATCCTGCTAATCAAAATGAGTTTTGGGGCTAGTTGAAATGACTTGTGGGCCAGTACATTCTAGCTACAGCTTGCCCGAATGGCAGGCTGTAAAACTGACTTTCTTTGCACCCAGTCTTTAAGAAATAGCAAGGCACAGTTACTGTCAGATTTCACTTTACCTTAACAAGCTTTAGTTGTCTAAAGAGAGATCGTGAACAAAGGGCCATTGAAAGTACACATAACAAAATAGTTAGAATATCAGCAAATACAAGGAAAGTTTTGGATGTTTGATAATCTAGGAAAAGAAAAATATATTATAGTCATAATTAATGCTTAATTATTTCCAAAGAAGCAGTAAACAGACTGATGACCCTGTACAGTGAAAGTGTACTTAACACAAGAGGCAAGTAAACAAAAAGGAATAGGCTGTATAAAAACTTGGGGTTTTATCAAGACATTGTAATCTGCTTCTTAATTTAAGTATGAGGATGAAGTCCTGTAGTTGCGACTATACCTTAGATGAAAGCTTCTGTGCTATAATAGTTATCATTATAGTGAAAGAGTTGAGGGAAAAGAGCTTCCTCTCAACCAACATTCAATAACTTGAATGCGCTGTTTTTTTAAAACATTCTTCTGTTGAAGACTTGCTACAATGTGTGGGTGTAAATGACATGTACTACTCCGAAATCCCAATAAAGGCAACCCCATATTTTCTTTTCTCCCTAGTTTCAGTAAAACACGTTGAACAAGAAACTGATATTATGCACCCTTATTATAACAAACCATTTTTCCAGTCCCTTAGCAATTCTGCATATTAGCAGTGTTCCCTGGTACTGTGAACACACATAGCTTTTATTGACATGCAGATGTTGGCTGGCAAAAAAGATACATGTAACTGAGCAAAAAGAAAGTTAAACAGTAGCAGTAGTAACACCAGTGCCTCTGACATTCCAGTCTAGCAAATCAACAAGACCATCAGTACGATGTCAAAAGCATTGCTGACTGAGATAAGGCAAATGATAAGCAAACCTCATTAAGAAAGTGTGATAGCTTTCATTACATTATGTCTTTTGTTAAAAAAGCATTGCTGACATTTTGAGATAAGGCGAAAAAAATGATAAGCAAACCCCATTAAGAAAAGAAACTTTGTAATTTACCCTCTTCCCGATGATTTAATTAAGGTTTAGTTTTTCATTACAAAATTATGTCGAAGTGGCTCCCTGTTTGTTACTTTACCTTTCCTGAACAATTTTTGTTAAAATCTGAAATCATAATATATAATATAATTTACAATTCATTCCTTTGCCATTTTCGGGGTTTTCACTAAGAATTCTAGCAGCAGGAGAAAGATGTAACATTATAGGAGAATATTTTGAAAGAGCCTGCACGTCTGAATAAAAATAGTCAATTGCATTTTCAGTGTTAATACATTAAAAATTCAGCAAGTCTTAAAAAATACCCTCTGAGCTGACTGTAGAGTTAGCTTGGCATTCCACTGTGCTTCCTTGCGAGTTCAAAATGACTGGTACTTTTCCATCATGATTACTATTATCAAACTGTATCTGTACATGAAAATGAATAATCAGATCAGCTTAAGTTGAGTCAGCTGAAGTCACAAATTTTCCAGTGAATCTTGTTCTTTTTGGTTAATGAATTTCATTAGTCTCCTCATCTTTCTGCACAGAGTAATTTGTATGAAGATTATAATGAGATATAAGGTGTTGATCAGCAGCATTATTTTGGCAGTAAAAAAAGGCAACATGCTTCTATTAACCCTTTAAGCCCCAATATCCACAAACAAATTCTCCAAACTGATCTCTATACATTTCCTTACAGAATAAGTTGGGAGAAATTCATAAAAGATCAGAGATTTTTCTCTTTGTGATCATTTGATTAATTCTCATAGATGTTGCACTTGACAATCTATGGATATTGTTAGGAGAAAATTGATGTTGGTCACTATTGGAACTTAAAGGGTTAATGAATGTCTGTAAATGGTGAGCTTGTGCAATAGGACGGCAGAGAAAACAAGACAGGAGACAACAGGACTGAATAAACTACAATTCAGTCTGTAATGATAAACAGTGATTAAAAAAAAAATAGGACAATCACTTAACAGGAGTCCGAATTATTTAATCACAAGAATGAAAACCTTTGGTATAGCCCTGTATTATTTTACTTACTGTGACATTGAACAGGTAGCAGGCTGGATTCCTTGGAGACTTTCGCAAATGAACAGAGCTCACATTAGCCATCAGTGTGACACTGATAATGCTGAAAATATTAATTTAATGGTAATTATGGGACTGAGTGGAGTCCAATTCGGTCTGTAATCATACAGGTGATAAACACAATTGGATGACCACATAGCAGGAGTCCGATTTGTTTAATCACAATTATAATAAGATTACAGACCGAATTGGAAGAAACAAAGTTCTGATACCAATTAATCATAACTATTACAAAATTTGTGATATTTTAGGCTTTTCTAAACTTAAGACACAAGAAATTCTGAGAGCTTTCTCGCTAGCAGTGAAAAAAAGCCATTTAAGTGCATGTGGGATGGCACATACTGTCCAATTACAGGCATGACACATACTGTCTTATTAGTACTGAAATCAGGACTGTTGGGAGCCAATTAGATTTGAGAATTTTGTTTCAGTTATGATTAGATATATAATCATTTGTTTGAGTCACAGGACTGTTTTAAACTCACACCATTTTCATGACTTTGCTCTACACTCAACTAGATATTGAACTAACATCTCATAACAGTCGTTATTGACTATGTGAAGCAGGGAGGCCTCTTGTTTCCCTAAAGATACGAATTTTGTCATTTCATTGCCATAAAACAAAAGCTGGACAAGGCATCTGCTGTTACTCACATTAGATTCACTGATAAAAGCCCAAGCAAATCAACTGAGGTCATCAAAAAAACACTGATGAGTTACACGATTATACGTTTCAATGAAGATGTCAATGAAACTACATACGAGTACTGTACCTTTCAAATGATTCTGGCAACATGTTTGTTTCAACAAAATGAGTAATGTTGTTAACTGATTCCTTAGAGAGATTCAAATCTCGACAAACTACACCCATGAGTAAAGGACAAATTACTTCACACTTCACAAACTGTGAAACACAACAATACATAAATTTACAATGTAATTATAAAGCACAAAGTTTCCCATGTTCTATTGACTTAAAGAGTTTGCCTGAGAAATTGGATCAAAGCTACAAAACCAAGAAAAATCTGTTCTTCCCAAAAAGAAACTCATATACACTTTGTATAAATATAATAATTATTGTGCTGATCATTGCTAACAGTGTGAGATGAAAATTAAAAAACTCACATATCCTTTAGGGCAAGCTTCTCATGAAGTTTTTTAGCACAGGCCTACCAGCCTTTTGTATCACTCTCATGTACTATAGCTCAATAATGAAGGACCATCATTTGTCAGGTAAATACAACAAGCAGGTGGGAAATCAAACAGCTAAGGATTTCTTCTGTTTTTTTTTTTTCTTTCATTTTCCAATGAAAGCAGCCAAAGTCATGTTTGTAGTGGCCAGGAGAAATCCCCGGCTATCAACCTTAAATGACTGCCCTCTAATTGCTGCTTGCTCATCAGACAACTACTCTTTATTATTATTTTGTTTAAAACATGCTAGCCACAAAAGGTCGCTCCAATGGCCTTGGGCAATTGGACAGCACTTTTGTGGTGCCCTGTCTAAGCCTATATTTTTTAAGGATACTGTAATCTGTTTGTCGGCTAAGTTCATATGTCTCCTCTTCTGCATTCACATGACTGATGTTATACTTAAATACACACATTAACATAGGACTAGGTCTCTCCTCCATGGACATTGGAAAACCAAAAGTTCCAATGGCAATTTTTCGGATATCATTGTACTGAAAAATGAACAGGACAAAAGTAGTTGGTTGAGATCAGATAAAAGGAGAGCATAACACAGAGGTTGTGCACTAAGAAAAATTGAAGTGAGCCTGTGGAATCCTAGTCGCCCAAGAGCAAAAGTTAGGTGTCAGAGGCCACCAGGCCTTGCTAGAATACAGCCCTAGGTTAAGCAACATGTTTGCAGGAAAGGCCAGTGGCAAACAGAAGAGTTGACCATTTTATAATCATCTTCACTGTTTGGTGTTATATTGAGATACATTTAAATCTCTTTATTTTAGGCTTTGCCTGGCTACCAAACCTAAGGCCTACAGTGTAAGGTGCACTCATTTTGCCCCCTATTTAACATCAGTGCACCATTAAGGCTACAAGGAAAGAAAGAAGTCGAAACAAGGATTTTTAGTCACAGCTGCAAATTGCACACAGGCCCTCTCGCACAGAAGAACAAAAGCTAATTAACTGTACCAATAACAGGGTAACATGACTGTACTATTTCTCACATTAATTTTTGTCACCCTTAGATTTTTCAACTGTACATGTTGGTGTACAGAACTTGGCTTTCATATTTAGCAGTCTCTGGCACATCTGTAAGAGCCCCTTTGACCCCTCATTTCAAACCTACCTGCTTCACTGAGTGATGCACTTGATTGTAGAACTGATCTTTTGTGTAGATGGCATAATTTGAGTCATTGGAATCAACAAGAAACAAGTAGTCAAAGGCTTGTTCACTATCATCTAAGAAGTTTACAACAGAGAAAAACTCTGATGCAAACAAGAAAACCTACCAAAATAAAAAAAATAATGTGTGTTACTTATTATTAAATATATACCCAAATCTCTTGTAATCATTTAATAAATAAAATCAATACAAAACCAAAAAATCTTTAAATTTCTGGTAGATGCTAGGGATTACTGATTGGTTGCTTATAAAAATTGACAAAATGATATTTGAGAAAGATGACATGAACCTAGTTTAGTGACCTTAGCTCCCACAAGTCTTCTGAAGCTCAGTGGTAGAACATCTGGAGAAGTAACCTGGCCCCGGTAGTTAAAAAGAGGTGGATAATAGCTGTGGTCACACTACAGACTTTTTACCTAGGTAAACACGACTTGTTGACAGTTTACCTAGGGAAACTTGATTTTTTAAGTGTGATCGATTTTTCCCTAGGTAACTTTCCTCGGGGAAATTTTATCGTCTGGGTCTTGGATATGTCTCGAAAACAATGGAGTTTCCCTTGACAGCTACCCCAAAGTAATAGCTAGGGAAAAATGAAATACTGAGGTTGCTAGCCAATAGACGCTCATCAGCGAAGGTCTTGATGACACAACCGGACATAGATCACGCTGTGAAAGAAATTTTGGGAGCACGAGTTGTCTACGTCTTCGCCTTTCTTCACCTTGCACGTTGAATTAGCGTAAGAAATAACAGCGAGATAAAAGAAAAAAATGTCTCTTTGATCAGCTAGTTCCCTGCACATTTTGCCCTCTTGAATTTACACTCCAAAAAATTCAACTGGCGTGAAAACTTTGGGAGCCGATATCAGTAGTGTGACCTTCCCAGAATTTTTACCTAGGTAAAACAAAACCCGAGATGAATTTACCTAGGCAGATTTTTGATGAATTTGCCCTACGTAAATCGGTTTTACCTAGGTAAAAGTCTGTAGTGTAACCACAGCTAATACTATCCACTGAATAAATCTCTATCACGTGGATAACCCAGTGAGTTTCCCAAATATTTACCCATTGGATAGTGATTTATCCAGTGAATGGCGCTATATAACGTTTGAACAACCGGGCCCCGAAGGTCATAGGTTTGACTCCTGCTGGGATAACTCGGATTTTTTCCTCTGTACCACCTGTGACACTAACGAGTGAAAAAACATCTTTCTTCCGTATTCAACGTGTCCAAGTTGTTCAAATGCTACATAGTACTATTCTTGGTTTGCAAACACATTATAAGGCGGCCATGTTGGGGTTCAATACAATAGCATTTTTTCTGCAAGAAACTACACGAAAATAGAGTTTGGTTCCCAGAGGAGAGAAATGCTTTTGTTCTTGACCACCAACATGGCCGCCGTGATGTCATGTGTAAACCAGCAATTCACTGGATAAATCTCTACCCCACGGAAATGAATCAGGGGAACCAATTACGTTATCTACTGGATAGAGATTTATCTACTGGATAGCTAGCGTTATCCACCTTTTTATACCTGTACAGTGACCATTATCAACTTGAGAAATTGAAGCAAAAGCTTCCAAGGTTTTCTCCCTCGATGTTTGTACTTTTGTAAAGGTGTCATGAAATGAGATTTTAACCGTCTCCGCATCACTTCCTGGCGATTTCGGAGACTCCCTGAGAACTCCGTAGAGTCATAAATCGACTGGTAATGGACAGAGGTGTTAAAGCTCGAGGCGCTTCCTCGCTGGTCCAAGAGCGGCTCTGTGTAGTCGTCGAAGCTCGCTAAACTGCTCTCGTTGTAAGAGCGAGCCAAATGTCTTGCATGTCTAGAAGAAACTGCTGGTAGAACGACTCGACTGGCCATATAGACACCACGATCAAAGGCAACAGTCACAAAGTTATTTCGTTTTCCTTCAGTCTTGTGACCAGTGACTTGCTGCTACCCGTATCTGGTTTCTCTTCCAAGCAGATCGTTATTTCACCTCATTGTTTCATCACAGGTTACACTATTTGATGATAATGCAGGTCAGCTCGTAATTTTCAAGCAGTAGTTTATCTTTCGCCTCTATAATAACCTTCTTTCCTGCTCTCCCACAGTTGTTATCATTTCAAGCAGCGAAAGAAACTTTTGCAATGGTCGTAGGAAGATATCCCACAGCTCATTGCGCGCCTGAGTATGCTGCTTCTAGGGGAGGAGTAGGGGAGTATGGGAGGAGGGGTGGGAGGAGGAGGGGCGGTTTACGCCAAAGTTTACGCTTGCATTATTCGAAGAAAATTATAGGCAAAATTCTTCTTGCGCTTTGGTTATTTTGCTTTAACACACAAAAACTTCTCAAAAATACTTAAACATTGCAACTTATACTACACGAACACAAAATGGTCAGTCTATAGATCTGATTTATTTGTTTTTCTAAAATTGTTGAGACTTGGAGTTGAACTGGGTAAAGACAACAACCCATTGAAGTGTACAGTAGTCCATGCAGTTACTGATAGTCACATACATAACATACATCATCAAGAGAGGATATCCTCTCTTGTATACATACAAAACATAACCTTATGAGTCTGTGTAGAGCAACCCAGTTCCGCTAGCAGAAAGAGCCAGCCCGGATTATGTAATCAGGCCCTCAGCCTTGTAGTAGACTATTTTTTTAGCCCGTATGTTCTGTTTTCCCCATTCAGGTGATGTTCTCCAGGGATTGTGCCTTTCGCCATTTCATAAATTTACGCACGTACTGCTGCAGGTCGATGAATAGGCGTAGAGCAACATTTGAAAGAAACAGTTCTCTGAGACCATCATATGGTTTGAAATGGGGAAACAAAAGGCCTATTGTATGATACAAAAGAGAAAATTACAAATAAAAAAAAGGCTGAAAAGTTATCTTTTTACCTGAAATGTTACCATGAACCACACCAGCAGCTGAAGCGAAAGTTTCCAGGGTTTTTTCCTTCGATGTTTGAATTTTTGCCAAGGTGTCATAAGACAAGAGGTTATCCGTTTGCGCATGACTTCCCGGCGATTTCTGAGGGGAGCCGGCTCCAAGATTTCAGCATAATAAACTGTTTGGGAACACATCTGATGTGTACTGGAGCTCACTGAACTGCCAAGACCATTACAGTTTTGAGGTTTTAGAAGCGGTTGTGTGCATTCGCCCATAGACGACAACCTTTTAGCCGTCTTACTGGAGCGAAACAGACCGTTTACAGTGGATGAAACTACCGGCAAAATAATCCAAGTGGCCATGGTCGGACTAGTCAGTCAGAACTCCTTTTTTTAAATCAGCACTATCCTAATTAAATTCCTAAGGCAATAGCTGCAATGGAGATTTTTCTCGGATCTGTCCGAAGACTGAGACTTTCAAGGTCAACTACATCATTGCGGTCTTTGGTTGAATGTCTATATATTTTATATATATCATAATCGCATGTCTGTAAGCAGCTTCCCGGCTCAGCAAGTCACACTAAAGATATTTACCTTTTAAGTCCCAGTATCAACTTGCATGTTCTCCATACTCAGGCCGTATATTTCCTCTGATGCTAACAAGGAGAATTAAATCACTGATGAGAGACAAGAAGTAAAAGCATATGACGATCATATCGAGCTCGGGGTCGAGATATAAAAAACGTTATTGGATGAGGATACCTCTTGGCAGTCAGGGTTAGACTTACCACGAGCCTATCGCACGAGTTTCACATCAGAAAAGCTGTAAAGGGAGCCACGAACTTACTTAAGGTACGTAACTGAATGTTATTCCTTCTTCCGGTCGCCGTTGATGAATTTCGAGCGTTTCGAACGAAATGTCGACCAGTGAATTGTTTAAATTTATTTTGCTCTGAGTTTTGCAATTTGTTGTTTCTATTATGTCTTCGCCGAAGCTGAGAAGAACAACCTTTTCGTTAGCTTTCGGCTATCATATACCGCTGACATGAAGATTTATGCCGCGTCGAAGGCCGATTAAAACCTCCTTAATCATTTTTAAATAGCCACAGGTTGTTCTTTATTACTGATCAGATTGCTGTCTAAGGTCGAGACTCAGTGGTCGCAGTCAAAAGCCTGAAGGAAAAAATTAACTGATATCTATGAGAAATTCTGAAAGAAAGGAAACAAATTTGCAGCACTCTGAAAACGAAACAATATCGGCTGAGGTGACGGCTAAGAATGATTCAGCGTCAGCGATTTAGAACAACGGAGCAGCAATAACAATAGCCTGCGTAGCTGGCGGTATTGTGTGGGTGCGAGATCAAAGTTTTGGCGGCGGAGCCGTGTTCCAAAAAAAGGGAGTAGGGACGAGGCGGTATTTCTCGCGGCTTCGCAGCTCGTGACGGCTCCGCCGTCAAATCTCACTCGACTACAACACAATACCGCCAGCTACGCAGGCTACAATAACAAAAACAACAACACTGCAACGTATCTTTCCATCAGTTCTATCAAACGACTACAATTTGTTTAATTTTTTTTCTTATTTTTAGTTTGAGGAACAAAATAAATAGAATGCTAGCCAGTTCAAGCCTTTCGTGGTACGTATTGTCTCCGATAGTAGAGGGCAAGAACGGGGAACTACCGCGCTGAACGGATGCTCAAGTCTCTGATCGCAGCTAGGGTTTAATTGCACAGTGGCGAAGCTTGGCGGTTTCCCCGATTTCATACAAGCGAAAGCCGTAACCTGGTAACGGCTGCCTCGAAGAACTCATTATTGTGATGAAAAACGGAAATTAACAGGTCATCCCCGTGAAATGCGATTTGGGAGAAGGGGTAGTGTTGAATTATAAATGTACCGCTGGAAAACATCCTCGTTCCCAGGGCGCTTTTCCCTGGCTTTGGAGGTGGGGCGCCCCACCTCCAAAGGGGACGAGGTTGGCTGGAAAATTTCTAGCCACGCCCCTGTTACGTCATACAACTTATCTCGTACCAGATCTCCCACGGTCAAGGAAAAGGGAGATCTCACTTTTCAGAGTCAGACAGAGTGAGATCTTGGTACGAGATTACCCCGTAGCATTTTGTCACCAGACTATCCATACTTCAGTTACAGCTGGGATACCCTTATTCGAGAGGAAACTATTGACAAATATTAATGAAGGAGCATACAAGAAATACGTGTATAGGCTCCTGCAGTTATATTCTGTTTTAAAAATTACAGAAGGCGGTTCAAAAAGACAAGAAATAGATCAGTTTTTCCATATACATATTTTTTAGCTTTTTCAAGATCTTTCAATTCCTGGGGAACAATCTATTTCGTCAAGAGAAAATCGAATCAGTGATTTCGTTCAGAAAAACCTAAATGTGTAATCCGTTGCGTCGGCAACTGACAAACCTGTGTGTCCTGTGTGTCCCTGAAAGTCATGATTCAAAATATCAAATACCCCGAAGTTAGGAATATCATGTAAGTAGACGGGGGAGGTCAAGTCCTTCGGCGGATTATGTCAGGATTTTTACTGCGATTTAATTCCTTTTAGAGTTCCAAGTATGAGAAAACATGACTGTGAATACGTAGAACCAAACTAAGCCTTTACCAAAAAATGTGGATCTTACTACGACATACCGGTAGCTCGCTAGACTGCTACACAGCCGTTTTTAGTGTCGTCACCCAACGTTCCTCCCGCGTTGCGTGACGACACTAAAAACGGCTGCGTAGCAGACTAGCAGCTCGCTTGACTGTTCATTCTATTCCTAAAATCACCAGGAAATTATCATCTGCAGATAATGCATCAGCAAAATGTTGCGCGCAAGTAGATCAAATAAATGCGACCCACCTGCGACAATACAAATACCTTATTAGTCCACGTCACCACGTGCATAATACTAATGTTATCTTAATCGGGATCACATTTACATATATCGACATGGTCGGGGCGTGACACATGATTGGTCAGCAGTAACAAATTGGCTCATCCAACGCCATATTTAGTTACCGACTTATCAAGTGCTGTTCTTGTTTCACCTGGTAGCTGAAGAGGGTACAACGTGAAATGAGGCACCGAGCAAGGTAGGTCGGGTGTTGGTTTATGTTTGTACGCATTCTACCAAACTAAAAAAAACTCTTTGGCTAACTCCTAATTACCAAAATCTAAAGATGATTCTTGTCTCCATCGAAAATTAATATGCAGAGTAAATGTATGAGTACAACAACATTACTTCCGCCAAGGGAAAATTTTTGCACGCGTCATCTCGGGGATCCGGGTTTGCACTCTTATGTAAAATCATATCTACACCGCTTTCGATCAAGAATATACTTAATTTTTTTTCCTTTTATATTCAGCGGGATAGAGTTCTTCTAATTTTACGTCTACTTGCCAAGAGCTCGATAACTGCGGACTCCATCAAATAACCGTTCTACCTGCCAGCTATGCAATTTTGATTATTTTGCGGTATGCAACTAATTTTTCAAAGCAGTGAGATCTTAATTTGTCCATAAACCTGTTTCTTAACGTAAACAGTTGTAATTCCTCATTCTAACATTTTCTATTTTTCCGCTTTCGATATGACGATAGAAAATGGGAAAAACACCAGGCGGAATAGCTTATAAATGAACAAGATATTTTAAAACAATGAGTTCTCTGCTTTGAGATCAGGGAATTGACATGTAAAATGACCTCAGCCATCAAGCACGGCAGGAGTTCACTTTTCACTTTCGAATCCAGAGTCTTCTTCGCCATTTATTCCACATCGAACCCAGTAATTGTAAAGAACAAATGAACAAATTCCTGTAAGGAAAACAGGTTGTAAACGTACCGCGCACTAATAAAATTTAGTTTACATTCAGGAAGCTGTTAAGAACATTCAAAGTCAATATTTATTCTGGTTGCATAATCATCAGGATAAGCACAGAAAAAATTTCTCTTGGACAGTCATTGGTCTTTCTCAGAACTTAAAAAAAGTGCTTAAAAGTGAGTCAAAGGAAACAAATAGATCTTTGAAACTCTATAACTGAGGTTTTTTCTTTGTTTGGCAAAGAAGTTGAATGTATATGCCACGCAATCACACTATTATAATAATTTGTATCGCAGTTTGCAAATTGATAGTGAAGACTCATACCCGGGCCCGGGGACTCATAGTAGTCAATACAATCTCTAATCGTTGTCCTTGCAGCGGAATCAGTTATCGTACTATCAGTCACAATTAGATTGACTGAGTTAGATGGATTGTTAT